GCGAATCTCCCAGACCAGCCTGAAAGCAAGATGTAGGAGACTGAGGGTGTGGTTTTAAATACTACCTCATGACATGTGGAAGATAATACCTGTAAAGGAAAACACACCTCCTGCAAATAGACACACATTCACTGGACCATATATAGTATCTGTTGAAAAATTATTGTGAGCCAGGTTCAGGTGTGAAGACGTTTCGGAGACTGATAAAGACTTAACATAGCAGGGTTTATTGAGCCCAGCCGGGAAGATACAGTGCCTGCATGCAACATGTGAACATGTCAAAGGCCAACACCAAATCTGAAGGAGAACATTTTTTGATCTCTTTGATGTTTCTGTCTTCCAGCTAGTTCTTATAGGTTTCCCTATTAGGTCATCTTTAACTGGCCTTAACCTAGAACAACTAATCTATCTAATGTTTAGACTCCAGTGCTTCATCCTAATGCTGCTGATAATCAACAACTGGCAGATGAGCTGAATGACTTGACACTCCACAATCATCTCTGGAGTAAATGACTACAGGCCCGTCGCCCTGACATCTGTAGTCATGAAGTCCTTTGAAAGACTGGTGTTGGCCCATCTGAAGAACATTACAGGCCCCTTGCTGGACCCCCTGCAGTTTGCCTACAGGGCTAACAGGTCAACTTGGGACTGCATTACATCCTGCAACACCTCGACTCTCCAGGAACATGACTGACAGGAGTCAGCAGGTGAGGCTGGGGAACATCACATCCAGCACCTGGACTATCAGCACTGGCGCCTCCCAGGGGTGTGTGCTCTCCCCTCTGCTCTTCTCCCTCTACACCAACGACTGCACCTCAGGAGACCGCTGACGACATCCAGGACGGTGATGAGTCGGCCTACAGACACTCAGGCTCTCTGGGGTCAAAACAACCTGGAGCTTCACACGCACAAAACTGTGGAGATGATTGTGGACTTCAGGAGGAGCCCCCCCACTCTGCCCCCCATCAACAAACTCAACAGCCCTGTGTCTGCTGTGGAATCCTTCAGGTTTCTGGGATCCACTGTTTCCCAGGACCTGAAGTGGGGGCCCAACAGTGACACCATCATCAAGAAGGCCCAGCAGAGGATGTACTTCCTGTGCCAGCTCAGGAAGCTCAACCTGCCTAAGGAGCTGCTGATCCAGTTCTACACATCCATCATCCAGTCTGTCCTCTGCACCTCCATCACTGTCTGGTTTGGATCTGCCACCACAAAAGGACAGGAGCAGACTACAACGGACAGTCAGGACTGCAGAAAAGATCATCGGTGCCAACCTGCCCTCCATTCAGGACTTATACATTTCCAGAGTCAGGAAACGGGCAGGAAACATCAGGAACAGTTTCTTCCCATAAGCCATCACTCTGATGAACAGCTGATTTCTGACTCACGGTTACAGGAATAATTCCTGTGCAATAACCCAGTAACTCTGTCTCTAATCAGCCACCTGTTTACTGGCTAACACTTATTATTTATTCACCATTCTCTATTTCAGTGCTGTTTATACTGTTATATTGTATTATTGCATATAATGTATACCAAGCCACCTACCTCTAGTCATAACTCCAGCACAAAATACTTTATTCCAGCATCCTTTGCACTATGCTCCATCGCACTGTGTACATGTATGAATGTATGTGTATGTGTGCCTGTATATCACAACCACCTCTGACATGTACATAATAATGATAATAATATCTTACTCCTGCACCTTTGCGTCAATATAATATTTGTGTTGTCTACACTATACTCTAATCTGTGGAGTCAGTGAGTTCTTGTAAACATTATTGTAAGATGCTTATCCTGCATACAGGGTCGCAAGGGGGCTGGAGCCAATCCCAGCTGACATCGGGCGCAAGGCAGGGTACATCCTGGACAGGTCGCCAGTCCATCTTCACAGTTCACACCTAAGGACAATTTAGGGTCGCCAATTAACCTAGTCCGCATGTCTTTGGATGGTGGGAGGAAGCCGGAGTACCCGGAGAGAACCCACGCAGACACGGGGAGAACATCCAAACTCCACACAGAATTGGGCCCAATTAGCCATTTTCTCTCCCCGGTGTCATGTGACTCGTTAGTGTTACTAGGTCTCAGGTGAGCAGGTGTGTTAAATGTGGTGTTATCTCTCTCACACTCCCTCATACTGGTCACTGGAGGTTCAACATGGCACCTCATGGCAAAGAAGTCTCTGAGGATCTGAAAAAAAGAATTTTTGCTCTACATGAAGATTGCCTAGGCTATAAGAAATCGCCAAGCAGGCACGTGCACACATAGACATCAAAAGGGGCTTCAGCACCTGCCCTTTTTCTTCTTCAAGAGAAATTACCCTTTTTTCTGGGATGCTTTTTTTTTTTTAAATAAATGAATATACAGTATATTTATTCCTGTTTGCAACAGATTCCCTGATTCCCAGAGCGCAGCACACAGACAGACAGCAGCCCCTCCAGCTTCTCTCCCAGCACTGTTTTTATTGGCTTGTGTGGAGGTGAGTGGTGATTAATAAAATACTAAACTACCAGTGCCTCGAGTTTATCGCTAATTAAACAGAAGACAATATAGGCCAATGTCTTGCTAAGGCATGACTCATGAGCTGAGCTACTGTAGTAGGTAAGCTGAAGTTTAGCTAAGGCAATATCTCATGGCCTTACAACCTAATGTACTGATGGAGACACTGCAGGTGAACACAGTAACATTTGTGTCTAATAACGTCATCACAATCGCCACACTGATATGCAAATTAGGCGTTAACTAGTTAAAATACGCCAATTTGCACACATACCACACAACTTCCCCAGTTAATGACTTACATCAAGAGTTGGCTATTTTCCTCTGAAATGTGCAGATTAGCTTGTTTTGGGTAATATAGAATAAATCTGCAGATGCAAATAGACCGAGGGTATTCCACTGGAGTAAAAGAAGACATGGAAGCAAAATAGGCCACTCCATGAAAAAGCGCCTTAAAGAGTAACTTCATAGTTTTGATGGTAGGCTCCTTATCTAATAACTCTCCGTTCTATTAGTTTGTTGTATGCTGATAGATCCTTATATAATACAGACAGCCCTCCCTCAAATGTGAAACTGTCCTCCCTCAAATGTGAAACTGTCCATGTCACACACATTAATGTATTCAGGCAATTCAGTATTCTGTTGCTTGGCTGTGTGAAGCTAAAGGTTATGTTTACTCATTTGGCATCTTGCTTGTGAAACAAAAAGTAGAAGTATTTAAATAACATTTATTTTAATTATTCCTGCAGCCCAATGCCACAGTTTAGTGTGAAGATTTATGTGAAGTGTTATGTATTCCAATAACACCTAAATAATTGAAACAATTTATTGCCTTGTGAAAAATAAATAAATTATTAATGAAACTAAGTCATAAATGAAAACATGCACATTGTGGCATAGTTTGCTTTGTCTGTATGTTTGTCTGTCGCCTGCTCCTGTGATAAACCTTGTGAATACTAAAGAAGACCGTGGTCTCTGTGTGAACTGATTATTTTATAGAAAAGTAAAAATGTTGTTGAGTTAATATATTTGTCTTTTTTTTTATTTGAGCCCCTGCCCACCAAAATGTCTGTGCACGTCCCTGTTGCCAAGACCCTGAAACTGAGCTGCAGCACGGTGGCCAAAACCATATAGCGGTTCAACAGGACAGGTTCCACTCAGAACAGGGCTCGCCAAGGTCGACCAAAGAAGTTGAGTGCACGTGCTCAGCGTCATATCCATATCTTTGGGAAACAGACGTATGAGTGCTGCCAGCATTGCAGCAGAGGCTGCCTGTCAGTGCTCAGACCATACGCCGCACACAGCAGTAAAGTGGTCTGTATAGCTGTCGTCCCAGAAGGAAGCCTCTTCTAAAGATGATGCACAACGCTATACGCATGATCCATGATGATACGGAAAAATAGAAATGAATGGCAAAAATAGCATGTCTTGTCTTATTAAGAGGAGCCAAGCTCCCCCCATAGTTTGCACCCTGTTTGTACAACAGGTACTTGGTAAAAGACGTTTTCATAGTTTAAGAGGCTTTGCTCAAATCAGCCAAAAAGACATTGGTGCATGACATTGCCAATGCCGGTAACTAGTTAATTATGCTTATGTTAGTTATAAATTAATAATGCTAACATCTGATGTCATGTTAAAAGCACCACCTGTTAGAATGTAAATAGGGATATCACTTCATATACAGTCCATTGTTTCCCATTTTCACAGCCCAGTGCAGCTCGCCAAGAAGGGACAGCCCCCAGTTTATGGTCCATTGATTTACACTCTGAAATGGGCAATTCTTAAAATGTCTACTTATACTTTTGATAATTAAATAAGTACATTTTGCTGGTAATTCTTATGTACTTTTACTCATGTCGAATTTTGAATGCAAGACTTTTATTTGTAACAGAGTATTTTTAAATTGTGGTATTGTCACTGCATTTTTACACTAAAGAATGTGATTACTTCCTCCATAACTGTCAGTATGATCTATAAGTGTTTTCTCTTCTTTCACTTCAGAGGCATTCCACACCTGGAATTTTAACCACGCGATGCCTTATGCTAAATATTTCCTAATATATCATTATTTGTCAGCAGTAGGCATGATGCTGGCACTTAAACAGCAATGTCTCAGCAGCATTGCAATAGTAAGGAATACTTACACATTAATTGATACTTCTGAACAAAGTTTTTCAGTTTGTACAAACCTTAAAATTTCATCCTGTAATAAAGATGAGTACTAGTGTAAGCTGACCCATGGACACAGAATTGCTCATAGTAGCGTTGCTCTGTATGTATTTTTATACAACAGCAATATTCTACATGAGAGCCAGTGCCTGTTGTATGTGTGCTAATATAAATACACCAATCTGATGTTTTCACACCTAATACAATCTTGATTGCTACCAATCCAATATGATGATGTGATAACACTCGTTTCCAGTAGGTAGCAGGACCGAGCAGAGCTTTCCCATGACAGATTACAGGGCTGGTTTGAGCAACAGTGCCAGTACAATGGTTGCTATCCGGTGTGTCAACCTTTGTGTGGGTGGAGAGACTTTTCTCTACTTCACTGCATGTCTTTATTTTCTTTAGTCTGAAATACCAAACAAACCTGCTACACTACGTTAGGCAACATAGTTTTACACCAGTTGATAAATGTTTATTAGAATGGCATGCATACATTGTTTCATTCAGTCTAGGTGGAGACTGTTGCACACCTGCCAGTAGACAGTAGGAGACTGCTTTCTTGTGTAGAGGTGTGACATCTGAGGGAAGCTACACAAGAACACAAGGTAAGTGAGGCTAGAACACACCTGTAATTAGTGTGATGATTCAGTGTTTTCACTATTATTCAAATCTTTATACTCTTCTGTGTTTGTTGTGTGTTTTTATGTTTTTTGCTTCGCTACTACTTCTATATACTTTCAGCTACAGAAGCCATTCAGGAAAAAAAAGGGAGTTTTTTTTTTATCACTACAAAGAGTAAACTGTAGACCTGCTCTATGAAAAGTGCAGCGAGATAACTTCTGTTATGAATCGACCCCATATAAATAAAATAAAATTGAAAGTCAATTGTAAAACAATCTTCATATTCTCTTCAAATCTACTCCACTTCATACTTTCAAGTACAGATACAATCATCATAGTTTTTAAAAGCTTTTTTCAGGCTTTTATTATGGACGCATGCTGGGTGGAATTTTCACCACTAGAGTGGGGAGGATTTCTAACATCTTCTCAAAAACTTATTTTTGAAGATTTGTGTTGCTTGTGTGGTGCGCATGTAACTATGGAATCAATCTTACTTACATATTTGACTTGGTGAGCTCCTGAGAAGACCAGCTCGAATGTCAACTGAGAGTCAAACTTTCTGGAGGACAGCAGAGTGCCAGTTTTTTAAAATGCTGTATTGCTCACATGTTTTTAATTCCATATCATATCATCAATTACATATATTTTCTAACTTACTTGCATTATTTGGTAATGCGGGTCAAAGTCCAACTCTGCCAGTTTTACATTTCAGCAACCAAGTTGTTAAGCAATGCAGTGCTATGAAGTAACTCATTTCAACTTCAAGCTCTGACAGTAGTCTATTATAATTTTGCTTTTACCTTTTTTAGCAACATTTTTTCGCTCTTAGATGAAATGTCTCTAAACAGTGTATCGGGCATAATAGGCCTACTGTTGTCAAACAATTGCTATTGATTGTCCTAAAGATGAACATGATTATATGACAACAAAGCAAATAACCTGGTCACACCAGTTCTTCTTCAAAGCAACCCAGCCACATTGATCACTGAGCTGACGCACAGTGTAAACAAGGGTTTTTTATTAACCTTGGTAAGCCTTGGTCTACTTTTGAGATACACATGACCACAAAGTTAAATGGGACAGAAATTTACTATAACTTCCTTAATGGACCTTTACAGTAACGGATCAAAACTGATATAAAGCCAAAACACTACAAAGAAATACAGTTGGAGGATAGGATATGAAGATGAAAATTAGCTGTACAATCACACATCCTGACATGATTCTAGTGGGAATGTGATACAAAACAAAAAGGCAGTTCATACTTTTTGAAATTAAATAGGTCTACAGTATAATAATCAGGCATTTGTCTTTCTTTGTTTTAGGCCTATTTGGATGAAGTATCTTTTAGCACAACTAAATTTAAATGGTCAGTACACTTTCAGTGGACACTCTTTAAGAGTTATTGAGATCTAGTTTTGAAGGACAGTAGGCCTGTTAAACTAATATCGAGTGTTGGGCAAGTTACTTCACAAATGTAATACATTATAGATTACAAGTTACTGTCATTTGGGAGTAATTAGTTATATTACAATATTACTGTCTCTGAATTGTAGCCTAATGCTTTAGGCCTACACTACTTTTGCGTTGAGTTACTTTCACTGCTTTAATGGGCGCATTATCCTGATAGAAAGATGTGCTGCATAGGTGGGTTCTAGTGATGTGCAGAGTTATATCGGGTGGGTCTTTTGGATGAAATACCATGAATCGTCTCCCCATTAAGAAAGACACTGTGCGCATTTACGCACGAGGTACAGCAGCATAACGTCATCATCTCCCAGCTCTCCTACAGGATCGGCCAGGATGAACTGACAGCAGCCTCTCTGATCATGAAAGTAATTCGTTAAAGCACAAACACCTAGCCTCTAGAGATCTATTTACGCATGATCCATCAGGGGAGCTACCGTCTTGTTCAGTGGAGCCCAGCCCCGCCGTAGTTTGCACCCTGCCTACAATCTCTCTCTCTCGGCCATCGGATTCCCGCAACAGGAAATAACGTTACTCATTTAGGCTACATGGATTTGTTTTGCTGGTGCCGAAATGTTTCTCGGTGTTGGTGAATTATTAAAAAAACAAAACACTTAATTTAAAATGCGTTGTAACGCGCGTTACTGAGATTGTAACGGGTAGCCTATGATATTAACGAATACGTTATATCACTGTGTTACAGCGAGAAGCAATACATTACTGTAATTGACGTACTTTTGTAACGTGTTAATTTCCTCCCAACACTGTTGTTTTGTAGGCTACATTTTTACATTATTGTCATATTTATTAGGCTACTGATTTTCTTCTCGTGCATATGTAACTGTACAATCAGTAAAAGCAGAGGGTCCAGCACAGGGGAAGCTGAGCCAGGGAGAGGCCTACTCAGAGAGAAAGATGAGGGATTAGATTTTTGTCTCGGATTGCTCTTATTAACGTAATATTGATAAAGTTAAAGTAAACTGCTGTGTATTTATAGCGCTATTGGTAGTATACTACCAATGTATAGAATAAAATAGTAGGCTTACTTTAGTGTTAGGGGTTGAAAGTATAGGCTATTCACTGAAGCGTTAATTCGCCCAGGGGTTTCCCATCGGGCGAATTAACGCGGAACTTCCAGGCGAAACTGTGGCTGAAACTGAACTGCCTTTTCTACATGAGCCGACAGCTAGCTAGCCGGAGAAGCGAGGGCCGTTGTCATGGATACGGGCAGTCTCGTGGACATTCTAAACAGAAACAGACGTGACAGACGACAAGTGCCGATTGAAGAATCGGGTTCACAGTTCTTGGTAGGACGTGAAGACACAGTCGAGTTTAGGAATTGCTTCTGTAATATAAGCCTTTTTCTGTCTTTGAACCTCAGGGGATATCTCGCTCTCTCCTCCTGCGACTCCTGGACCCTGTTCTCTGGCTCAGGTCCAGCCTGGTCCACTCCACCCACCACCCTCCTCTGTCTCGGACCACCGGCCCCCGCCCAGCCCACTGCCAGTTAGCCCAGCAGAGCCTCTGGCCACGTCTCAAAACAACGCTTTGTACACAAACGGACAGTGGAGGGGGCCGAGCAGCTGCTGGCGGAGCACGGAGCTGAGGAAAGGAAAGGACCGCGGGGTGGGGGGACAGAGAGCGCTCTGTCGACACGCAGCACGACCGAAAACAAAGTTAAAGGTAAGACATTTCTGCTAAATGCGAGGGAGGAATGAAATAAAGTAGCTCCTCATCCCGCATCTTCGGTCAAGCAAGTTAGTTCGTCAAAATTCAGACACGTCAGGAAGTTAGCGGTTTGTTTGATAGCTAAACGCATACAGACACGGACCTACTTTCAAAGTTTATTCAGCGGTGTCTTGGCTAACCCCGGTGTAGAGACATAACATCAATTTTTGGCATTTATAGGCAGTGGGCACATGGTCTCATTGAGATATTTTTAAAGGACTTTCAATTTCAATGATTAAAATTCAAATTCCACATTTGCTGGCGACCTTTCTGAATTGCCCTCACGTAGACCTGCTGTGTCCCAGTTTGAGGCTCAGTGTCTTAACTTGTAAGAGACGCAGGACAGGAGGACAGGGTCTCTGTGTTGGGAATAGGCTTTAAGGCTGGGCAGTTTGGTTGAATGAAAGATCACAATTTTTCATGGGATTATTTTTCTGATATTATAGTGGTGTACTGTTAAAAAAAACTTCATTGAGACAGTTTTTAAACACAAGTTGCTCAGAATTATTCATTTTGACAGCAGAAGTAAGGCAGAACGATAACAGTATCATCATGCTTCTATTAAACTGAAAGGAAAAACCGGTAGCTGGACTTTACCACACTTTAACTGTACTGTTTTTCATTGAAGCTGATAGAATAGTTGCATGAAACATGCATTTAAATTTAAGCTGCTGACATCTTTATTCATACTTTTTCTAAAAGATAGACGTCCTGCCAGTCAGTCAGAACTGAAGAAGCTTCTTGGATGAGAGGCGAAAACATCTTTGAGTACCTTCAACCAAATCCAGTTGCCCTTGGTTTTAACCCACCTTGAATACATTGACATGAATATTTACATTTACGTGATAACAAACTGATTTTTAAATCACTGTGAAATGTCTGTATTGTGTTTTAGCACAATGAAATGAAGGGAACCTTCATCCAGAGGAGTTGACAGTTGAGCAGCTGTTTGAGGTTGTTGTTGAAGAAGACTGCCTGGCTGTGTAGTTTATTTATCCTCTGGACTCGGTGCTCTTTCCACAGATACCCATGGCTGTTTTATGCAGCTGCACAACACTCTGAGACAACACTGAAAAGCTTGTTTCAGCGTATGGTTTTGGGCAACTGTATTCTCATAAACAAGCAGAGTAAGAAAAGCTTGAAGTTACAGCTGGAGAAAGCAGAGGGGCAACTCTCTGGTCTCTTTCACAGACAGAAAAGAAGTATCTGTTGTTCCAAACCTACAACCTCACTTGTGTGGAGGAACCCCAAACTACCAGTGCTAGTGTTGCTGCATTGAAGGCCCGATACAGACGTGGACAGTGCTCAGCACGTGGTTCTGATCATGCAGTGTCGTGTTTGTACGAGCATATAAGTTCATACACGTGATGTCTGTGCGGTAGGTCCGTGTGTGTTATCCACGCACTCACTCAGCGTACTAATATGTAAGCAAAGGCTTGTTGTTCTCCCCTTTGTCATGAGGACCCTCCTGCAAATATTGCATTAAGCTGTGGTCTGTTGAAAGCCCACACAGCATTCCTGTTATGGTGCATCTGCCTTCTCGGTGACACTGTTGATGCCACATCATGTTAGCATTTCAGATTAGTCAGGTATAGGCCACATGCCACACTAGGCAGTGTTACATGTCATGTTCATGTTTGTACATAGGGATATCTGTGGTACTTTATAAATGTTGGAGCTGATTCCACTATTGTGTCATGCAACATCTATCGTGAGATGTATTTAAATTTACATTCACTTCCTCCTGCTGGGCAGACTATTGAGCAATCCAATATAGTCTCGCTTTCAAGGAAATGTAATTCACGTCTAGCTATGATGTGAGTATTCCAGTAACGTTGTCCATGTATAAGTGTGGAGATCAGAGGATCTGATAAGATGAAACTTTTATTTCTGGCTTACTACTACAAAAAAATAAGGTTTTAAGTAAATGTATGAATTAAAGCTGGGTGTGGTGTGATGAGAGCTGTGGGTCTGTCATGATGTCGGGTGTTTACCTTCGTATCCCGAGGATCTGAAAGTAAGGAGCTCATGTCAGGGCTTGTTCAATAAGCACAAGAGATTATGGTACGCTTGTATGGATCACCTCAGTCAACAGGGATCAACAAAGCAAATGTGTGACCTTTAAAGGACCGGAAAATAACCGTGGGCACAAATGGCGTATCATGACTTCAATCCCCTAATTTTAGAACACATTTGCGTACATACAAATTTATTTGTTGCTGAGACCTTATATTTTAATATAAATTATGGCTGAGAAATACAGCAGAGTGAAAAGTGTGCCAAACAATCCCGGCCTCCTTTCACAGGGACGCTGGAAGTCAGTCACAGCTGGGGGTGCTGAGTGAAGGTCAGCGTATATAATGATGTCATGCTAAATGTTGTTTGTTTTTCATTTGAATATGAACAGAACAGAAAGAAGGGGAGGAGAAAAGACAGTCTGGACAGTGATTTATTTGATTTCGGCTAAAATAAAATAAGGAGTCATTTTATTGTCTTTAATCTTTGCTGTTGCTCCATTAGTGTGACCATTTTTCCTCTGTGGTGGAAAGTTCTTGTTTTGTCTGGCAAGTCTCCCATATTGACACCTTTTACTGTTGAAATGAGAGAGAGGTCATCGACCCGTTAAACCCACCCCCACCCCTTTCGGCTCATTCTTCTCAGCTCACCTACAGTTGTCCATTGTAAGGTGATAAAGTTGAAAGCATCCACATCATAAGCTGCAGGGGTGAAGAACCTCCTCTCACGACAGCACGTTGGGTAATATGTTTACATACACAGTGTAGCGATCAGCTCCATTTAACGGCAGGGGAGAGAGCAGAGTTCATGCTACAGAGGAGCCTGCTCTGCATTTTGCTGCATTTAGCGAAATGAGCTGTCATCCAAGCTGTGTGTCAGATATTAATGAGTTGGGCAGATCCAATAAATTTGAAAATCAGGCGAATACCTTTTTTAATTTAAGTTTTGGTTGTTCTACTAATGTATCTCAAATCTATAAACTGGTCACTATATGACTGGTGGCTGTGTTGGAAAGAAGCCTGCATGACCCTTTCACAAGAAATACTTTTTCCATAAATAGCATGTTAATTGTAAGTCAGATGATCACTGGATTGATTCTGATATTTTAACAGAATCCTCTCGTTGTGCAGAGCATGGCTTTCTTTTCTCGAATGCACATTAGAAACATGATTGTTTTATAGCAGTGCCCGGCGGTGATCATCAATCATTAAACAGAGTGTTGTGATGAAACTGATCTTGGGTTTCACTTAGCGGGAACAATTATTTTTGAAGGGAGAGAGTAAATATGAGTGGAGTGAACCATCCTGTTGGGTTTAATGCATGACACGCAAGTCTTCCTCTGTATGTAGGCTTACCCATCTTCATTCAACAATGAGCCATTCTCCCTTAATTGCCACTATAATTCTTTACATTGTAAAGTCCATGTTCATAGATGCTTTGGGAATGATCATTTTGTATTGTCTGTCTGTGCTATTGGAGAAGGCAAATCATATGCAGCGCCCTTCATATCACAGCAAGTGGTCTGTTTGGTTACATGTCCGTATCAACATAACAGATGCAGGCAACAATAGTAGACTAGGCAGCCAGTATGATATTTTAAAGAGATCTTAGTTGTATTTAACAGAGATAGCTAAATTAGAGGTAATCAATAATCAAAGCAAAGTGCATTCCCTAGAAATAAACATGGTGCACAGTGGCTGTTTCTAACTGATGCACAGCAGATGACCTGTTATTCCAAAAAGAATTATAGGTGAATACTTTATACATAAAAATATAAATTTTGGTTGAAAATTCCTTTAAAATATGTGTATTTTATCATGTTAATATGCCTGACATTCATTTAGCTATATATTCACATTATCGAGTAATAATAAATTACACCACTTTCCTTTCCATTGTCGCCAAGTGCTTGCTCATAGTAGGAATACTTGGGTCTGTGTAAATAATATTATAAAGGGTACGAGGCCTGCTCTATATGAAAAGTGCCCCGTGATCTGTTATGAATTGGCGTTAAATAAATAGAATTGAATTGCATACTTAAGGGGCCTCTTGTGTCACACACAATACAGTAGATGACTAGAGCTTTTTCATTTTCACTGATGAACTTCCTTTACTTAACAGGATGTCAGCAGTATTCTTTAAGGGGTGTGTGTTTCGATACTGCGAAATGAAAGCAGGTGTCATGTAGGTATTTGGTTTTGCAACCTGAAGAACAGAGTCAGACCTAGAGTAGTTATTTATAATACGTATTGCATAAGGAAAGGGTGTCTTAGTCACCTCTTCCTTTGTCCTAAGTGTACTTTCTTTGTCTTATCAAGTACTACCTGCAAATCAAGCCCTAAGTGACATTCACATCTGAAGTGGGATGGGATGTCGGAAATAGCTTATGTTCTGAGATAGACCTAGCCTACTTTAGGAATGCCATTGCTTTTCTGTGGTCATTCTGAGTAATTCTGTGTAAGTGAGTCTGTTTTTCGGGAAATACAATCCTTGTAGTTACAAACAGGTGACGTCCGAGGTAAAGATACACACAGAGATAGATGGCAGAGAATGCAGAAGGGCATGGTTGACAGGCTAAGGTTTCTAAAGATAGAGCTCTTTTATTTTAGTTTGCTGTCAGATACATGACAGCAAAGCAAATACTGCCTTGCTCAAGGAGGAAATGGAAACTCTTGCCAATTTCTTTACACATTTGAAAAATAGTGGGAAGAAGAAAAAAACGTATTTAATCCCACCCCCGTGTCCACAAATCAAATTCTTATAAATAATCTATCCGTGTTCCAAATTAATATTTACACATATACTTTTTCATACCCAAAAGCAATTCAAAATGTATATCAATTATTTAAAATATAATATCTTACCTACTCATCTACTTAAAATGTCTTTAGACTCCATTGGCCTGTGTTTTGTGTCCAGTTCAGACGGGCTACAGGAATTGGGGGAGAGAGAGGCGGTATAAAAAAAAATCACAGTGCCTGGCTCTACAGACTGAGCTTCAAGTTGCCTTTCATCTTCAAAAAAGATTGAAATGGTGCCAGATAGCTGTTAAATGTCTTAGAGTCAAAATATTTTTGACTCCGAACCATGTCACAGAAATAGAAATCTTGATGTAACGCCAATTCTCTGAGTATCTGTAACAGACTTAACCTGTTAGAGAATGATTTTCCTTAAAGCCGCTTCCTCCTCCTGACGCAGAGGCTGGGCACGCCATTGAGCGGAAGGCGGTGGCAAGCCTCTTTTGTAAAACCAGCAAACACCACACCTTTACTGTTCATTTGCTGCTGGTGAAGCACGGGATTGAATTCACTGAGATTTTACTGATCACTTGTCTCCACATCAGGCTCCAGTATACATTCAGGAACTCTTCACACCTGACTCAGGCAGGCCTGTGCTTGCAGTCTGTCCCTGTGCCTTCCACTTTTTAATTGCCCTGTGGATGAGTACAATTTCCTCGTTTAATTTAATTGAAAACTCAAAAGTACAGACATACAGATAAAAAGTAGAAGGCAATGTCTGTAGTATTTGTGGTAAGAGATTTTGATTTGTGGTACCCAGGCTCTGGAACAGCACTCACTGAGAGGAAGGCTCTGTTTTGCAGGAAGGCCCTGATAACATTCACACCTGGAAGCTGCCCAGTACAACCAAAGCCTGGTCTGCTGGCCGCTAAGTTTGGGTTATGGGCCTTGCTCAAGGGCACCTCAGTGGTGATAAATGAGGGAGGGCAAGCACTGCTCGGTTTACTTTCCACACCCAGCTTCTAGCCTGCCAGTCCGGGCCGACCTCCCGGTCACAACTGCCCTTTCAGATACTGAACCCCTAATTGGTCTGGGTTTTTTTTTTCCATTATCTTCTATCTAATCTGTATTATACTGAATTACTCCACACACTACTGTATTACAATTGCTAAAAGGAGATTTGCAGTCATTTCCTGTTTAACTTTCTCTCTCTTTGTGTCTCTCTCTCTATATTTTCCTCAGACCTGTCTTTTCTACGGCAGAGTCCACAAGTCGATCAAGCACCAGAGACCAGCTGTGGAGCCGGAGCCATCATGCCCCGCTGCAGTTTGAACCTCGCCACCATGATTTTCCTGGTGATTGTGCAGGGGACGGTAGTGGTGCTGTTCTATAGCTGGTATAGCCAGCTCAGTCTCGGTCCCTGCAGCTCTGCCTCCTCCAATGGCAAAGTTCACGTTCTGCTGCTGTCGTCGTGGCGATCAGGCTCGTCCTTCCTGGGTCAGGTGTTCAGTCAGCACCCGTCTGTCTTCTATCTCATGGAGCCCGCTTGGCATCTGTGGACCAAACTTAACAAACCCAGTGCGCGGGTGCTCCGAATGGCCACGAGGGATGTATTACGGAGCGTATTCCAGTGTGACTTTTCAGTGATGGATGCCTACCTGCCAGAGCAGCACAATGTGTCCTCCTTGTTTATGTGGAGTCACAGTCGAGCTCTGTGCTCACCACCGGCCTGTCCTCTCACGCCACGCAACCAGTTCAGTAACCAGACTCTGTGCTTTAAGAAATGTGATTCGAGGGGTTTAAAGCAGGTGCAGCAGGCCTGTGGCACTTACAGTCATGTGGTATTAAAAGAAGTACGATTCTTTGAGCTGGAATCCCTCTACCCGCTCTTGCAGGACCCTAGCCTAGATCTCCGCATCATCCACCTGGTACGAGACCCTCGGGCAGTGGTGCGGTCTAGAGAGGCGTCAGCCAAAGCCTTTGAGAATGATAACGCCATCGTCTTGAACCAGAGAAACGTACCAGCAGCCGAGGTGCAGTATCAAGTCATGCAGGAGATCTGCCGTAGCCACGTGCGCATCAATGAGAGGGCCCATCTGAAGCCTCCTCCATTTCTGAAAGACCGCTACAAAATGGTCCGCTATGAGGACATAGTACGTGACCCACATGGGGAGATAAATGACTTGTATAAGTTTGTAGGTCTGGAAATTACATCACAATTGTCTGAATGGATCTACAAGGTGACCCATGGAAAAGGCAAAGGCTCCAAGACAGAGGCCTTTAAAATCACTTCACGAGATGCTGCTGTTGTCTCCGAGGCTTGGCGAAGCATGTTGTCATACAGCAAGGTCAAACGTGTCCAGGAAGTGTGTAAAGGGGCCATGAAATTGCTTGGGTACAGGATGGTTAACAATGTAAAAGAACAGAAGAGATTTGAATTAGATTTACTAGTGCCACGAAAACAGTATCAGTTCAGCTGGTTGCCAGCTAACACAAAGGATCCAAGTAAGAGTTAAATCATGAGTGACAAAGACAGTAACACCAAGAGACTACATTGGACTAAAGTTTATATTCTTTACGATACATGTGCCGGACGATTCAGTACAGGACATTCAGTTCAGTAGGCGACTGCCTCTGTTCGGTACACGCTGTGGCCCAAGCTATTAGTGTCAGTACAGTGTGTTTATTACTACTTCTCGCACGTGCAGAAGAGAAATCCTAGAGCTCAAGTATTTATGGGCTGTGTAAGTCTTCAATGGGAGCTACCACAGACTGATTCATAAACTGAGGAAGCACTGGCATGATGTCTAAGGGTGAAGCACTGTTATACATAATATATTTCTTACAGAGGGAGGGGCATCTCTTTTCAAAGGTATTTGCAATTTGGCAATGTTCATTTGTGTTTGTGAACCAGCGATAGTCTTAATTTGCATGGCCACGCATGCAAACGATTTGGTTGGAAACGTAACGTATTTTTGACCAGCACTGTTAAATAGCTCTCTACGTTGTGTGCACAGTTTGTGAATCCTGTGGGCTCATTTTGGACATCTGTGTGTATCAGAGAGGACTTATATCGTGTGGATGTGCTGCCATCAGTCAGTGTGTACCAGAGAACTAATGTGAATTCACTACATTTGAGTTGTATTATGCTGAGCATCTTGTCAGTCTAGATAAATATTGTTTTGGATAGAGAACGTGTGGCAGTGATTAAGGATCAAAGCATGTAGTCAATAGTAGAATGTTAAATCATGAGCTTAATAGTTAGTATTCAGATTCTCTTAGTGCTTTCTGTTAAGAAATGATCAATCCTCATTTTAGAGAAAAATGTCAAAGCATCAAGGCAGTTTCTGACATAAACATAAACTTGAGCCATTCATTTTATTTTGCATGTGCAGCACAAATGTTCTGATTGAAACCATGTCTACTTTCCCCTTGTACAATGTTACATGACCAAACAATGTCAGTATACAAGACATCAACGATGAGTGGCAAATGACGATGAAAGAGAGGTGTACTCTTTCCAAATTTTTCCAATTTAGAAACTTAAAGCTGCGCTAATTCAAAGGCGCAGAGAATTATGCATTTCCCCTCACTTTACTGTACAGAGTTAAATATAAGAATGTCCAGAGCATTAGTGTGTTACAATGCCATTTGACATTTTGAAGTGTTGGCTGTTGTTTGGCTTCACCAGACACAGCTGGCTAATGAGTAGCTGATAGCAGTTTGCAGCTACTGTATTGTATTCCATAAGAAATGCTGACTGGGATGAAATGGTACTTTAAGCAAAATTAAGCATTAGATTCAAATTTAACATCATACAGTATGTCTACTGTGTTGAATGGGTACTTGTGAGATCAATCCGTGCACAATAGGAAAGTTGAAGAAAATGAAGAGTCTTTGCCGTTTGACTCCGTCGTGACGTCGTATTTTTAGGGGGCAGTGGCGCTGTGAGCTACCCGAGAGTGTGAATACCAAGTAGAATAAACATGAAGACAGTTACTCTCCCGATTGAAGTCACAGTAAACTTTATTAGGAGTTAGTATCGCTGTAGATGAGACACATGGAGCAGATGGAACTGGGTGTTCACTGAGTACAGTGTTGTCTCAGTAGACAGACTGTTTTACTGCGTGCTGACCTGTTAGGTATGCCACCATATGCATTAATCAATATCCGTTCAGCTCTGTGGTGTTGAAAAAGGTTGTGCATTTATAGATAACCAGCAATCAACAGTTTTTATTGTCCTTGGTGGTAATGACAAAATGAAAAACACACTTGAGTGATTTTAGGGCTCCTTTCACTCCTTTAAGGGTCACATTGGTGTCTATGCATGTTTCATCCCATTTACCACAAATTACGTACTATTTGAATGGAGTTTTGAATGTGTTTACCTGTAAGGCAATAATTGCTTACTTTTTGTTTGCTTTCAAATCAGCCTACTCTTTCAGCTGCAAAATATATTGTAATATAATTTAAAATATTGTAAAGTTCTGTATTATGGAGTATTATGGTCCCGCCTGTCAAACTTTGTTTGATACTTATCTGATATGAATGAATGTTTTGCAAAAAGTCAGTGATTTCATGAAGTGCTTGAACATGTGTACCTTTGCAATGTGAAAGATATGGAACAGTGTGTTTTCACCAGAGCCATGTCACAGAAATAGAAATCTTGATGTAACGCCAAGTATCTGTAACAGACTTAACCTGTTAGAGAATGATTTTCCTTAAAGCTGCTTCCTCCTCCTGACGCAGAGGCTGGGCACGCCATTGAGCGGCAAACCATGTCTTTCTGTTCTGTTTGTATAAGGGGCCAGTTGACAATGCTTGTTTAGCAGACAGACCTGCCAGTCTGTTCTTATATTTATGTGAAGATGACTTATGAAGCAGAAACTATATAGCACTAATGACTGGAATAAATATGTACATGTAACCTTTGGCTACTTTTATTTGGTTGCCTTTAACTGAAAGCTAGTTAGAAACCTGCCTTCACAATGTTTGGAAGAAAATAAGAATTTCTCAGCAGTACATAATTTATGTTGTGGCGCCCTCTATTGGCTGAGTCCAGTCTTGCATCTCCACTTAATATTTATTGGAAGTCTATTCTGATCTAACAAACCAATAGTCATTGCAGAAGGATTCTGTAAAAAAAAGGTTTTATATAATTAGTATGGAACGATGCATTAGTTTTGTATTACATTAAAATAAAGTTTTAACCACACTCACACTTCTTTGAATGTCCCTTTTCACAAACATTATCTTCATCCAAATATAATTCGTAGAATTACACATGTATGACCAATATCCTACAACAATATTGACTAATGCCTATATATCAATGTATGATCTTCCATATGCTTATATATAACATTTTTTTTTACGTACATACAGATAACATTTATAAAGGCATGCCCTAGATATCTTTTAGATATGTAACTGAGGGTAATAGTAGTACAAGACAGGAACACTAATTGATCTCTCTAAAAATCTAAAAATACTTACTGTATATAAATAAATACACACATGATATGAACAGAATACACAGCAACAAGTACTGTAATTAAGTAAATTTTGAGGTACATGCACTTTACTTTAGTTTTTCTATGATGCTACTTTATACTCCACTATATTTGAAAATGATAGTAACTAGTTACTGTACTCAGCTACTCAGATTAAGATCTAAATTTATATCAGGAATCATGAAAAATGCCCAAAACAATGATCAGGAAAAAATAAGTATATATCATATACAAACCACTGTTTTACAAGTAGAAGTAGTATATGTATAATTCAGATATCTTCTATATAAATAATATAACATAATATAATATAATATAATATAATATAATATAATATAATATAATAATATAATATTCCTTTTGAAGATTTGAAACCATCTTTATTGGATAACATGCACAGACAAAAAAGAATCACTCAATGTTTTTTTCAACCAATCGCAATCCAGTATTTTTGTGGCCATGGTATAATATTGAATTCGCAACATGAAAATAATGGGACCCTCACGTCAGAACAGGCTGTAATGTGGGCCTCACATTGGACCCCCAAAGATGGTGTCTGAAAGGGTTCAGATGAATAATCGTACAGTCTACCACCACTACTATCCTCCACTGCAGCTCAACATGGAAATACTGTCTGAATAAACACAAAAGAAATGCCAGCACTTTGGCATAACACCTTTATCAATGTCTCCAAATTGAAAATCAGAACGTTTTAAATGTGCGTAACACACCCACATGGTGGGAAAGCATGGACTGACTCCTGGAACTGGAACTGGTGTAGCTGTTGATAATGAGGATCTGCTGGTTTAACAGAGCTGTGTGTTCTGACAGGCAAAACTGTCTAAAGAATAAATACAACTGAAAGAGATCTAAAGGACAACAGGAGTTCTGACGGAGTGGTAGCTGGTTTCCATCAACACAGGCAGTCATGTAAAATTCATTTTTAGAAATATAATGTGAACAATTTATTCTAGAAAGTGATTTATGTATAATGTGATATTTGACAAGTTGAAAAATAGCAGCAAATACTAAAATAGTATACACATATAACTGCGCATGGAAGGTGTTAAGTGAAAATGTCTTTATTTTGGCACATATTGCTTTAGTAATTGTTGGAAAGTGAAGCCAAGAGAAAAGTTGCATAGCTGTTTGGACCCCTAGTAATAATTCAGATTTATGTCTTCAATATATATGTGTTGTTTTTCACTTTAGGTTCAGTGTGCAGACAGAAGCTCCTGCAGGTGCAGTTGGCAGGCATGTTGCTAAAACAGGAAAATAGGTGATTTTGCCTTCAAAATAAAAGCTAGGTTGGACAGGTCCATGAAGGATTAAATACTTAACATGATGTGAGACATCCTGTGATTCTTCTTCTGGATCTCTCTGGGACTTTGGCAGCTGCACAAAAGTGATTACAGGCATTGTAGCTATAGTTATTTGCATTCTCTAAGACCTTGTCGACATGCTCATTTTCACTGGTGCTGGTGCCATAACTTTATATGCAAATGTATACAGAAAACTAAACTGTCAAATGCAGGGGAGAACATGCCAACAATGATTCTTGAAATCACAAAGACACACACTAGAAGAAATTAAATCAGCAAATTCAGAACCTAACATATTACAGAAAAAATATCTTTAATTTGAGAAGAATTCAGAAAATATGTTTTGGAGTCAATATTGACCACACAGTGACTCCACCTCCCACTTGTGGTGGTTGCTGATAATATGTTTTGTAGGTACTGTATAATGTACTTTGTGTTTTGCTCTTGTCACCTACGTGAACAAAGGGTAGCTCGACCCCACATTTCTGAACTGACACGCTTTCTTCGTATAGTATTATATTGCCAAACACTTCCAAAAAGCACATACCATATAATAAGCTTCCAAACTGGTTGCAATTCATTTTGGAATGTAATGCAAATAAACTTGCAGAGACTAAAGCTTACTTGACTATATTTAATAATAGTAATCCATCACAGTTTGACCACAATTTGTTTGATGTGGAGTCAGAATGTCATTCAATTCACCAACAATGCAATTAAGGGAAACCAAAGTCTGCCATAAAGGCAAGAAATGAATCTAAAAGCACATGATGTTCTTTGAAAAATGTAAGCAGCAATGTAAAACAAATGGAATTTGAAGTAAATAAGCTAAACCATGCCATTATTTTCCATTTGGTTGCCAAAAAGGTCTATAATATGGTATAAAGCCACTTGACATAGCCCAGTGTTGTTTTTTATTTAACAGAAAGTAAATTTGAAAATTGCTAGAAATGTATTGGGAAACTAAGTGCATAGCCTACTTGTTATAATTGCTAATACATCACCCACATTATAGCTTCACGGTCCCTAAATATAAATAGTTTTTAAAAAATAATAATTTGGAAGCCTACTTAGCCTATGGTGGTAAATGATATGAGGTGTTTGAAATGTACATTGTTTAAACACATTTAATTATTGCAACGTTGCAGCATGGCATTACGACTTTATTTTGAAATGTGCTCAGATGTTCTACTTCCTTTGTAATTGACGCCGGTGAAAGGACTGAAAGAACAGGGGATTCCTGCAGTCAGGCACTCGTCTCCCACTGCCCTTATTTCTGTAAAACAACATGGATATGTCATTAAATAGTTAGAGGCGATTAATTAAGTTAAATATTGCCAACAACTTCTCTTCTCCATCCCTCCTCTCGGCTACTAGCGCGCAGATAATGCGACAGCCGGGAGTTTCTGCTCACCGGCCGCTGATTGACGTTCTCTCGCAGAGCTAATCGGCAACAAGCTAAATCAAGTCGAGCAGAATTAGCTAGACCATGATCGGAAGTGTGGTGATGGTACCTGCAAAATAAAAGCACTAAAGGGACTCTGAACCCGTCAAACAGATAACACAGAAAATGCAGAAATATGCAGCAAATTAAATAAAAAATGCTGTATGGACATGAACAATAAAAGCGATTGACACTTGATAATAATAAAAATAAACTCTGGGGTTGAAAACACAACAAATGTACTAAGATCTAGACTCTAACGTCAGCTGTTACATAAGTTAAAGATGTGAGACAGTATTAGACCATAACAGCCTTTTTATTGGTAAGGTAAAAGGTTGTTTATTTGTCATTATTATCATTCATTGTCACACAAGGTTGCATAATAATAGTAATAATAATAATAAATTAGATTTAAATAGTGCTTTTCTATAGTGAGAATGAAGTTTGTAGTCCCCTCATGGTTAACAGATAATTAAATGTGTATTAAAATATATATATATATATATATATATATATATATATATATATATATATATATACATGTATATAACCAGAACATTCTGCAGTGCATTTTTTGAATTTGAGTTTGGGGAGAATGTAAACAGCAGCAACAAGATGATAAAATTGTTTCATCTTCATTGGACTCAAGTAGTTGGGAGTTCAGCACCTCTATAGTAGGCTAAAGGGGAAAAAACATAGTTTCCGTTAACTACACATTTGTCTTTCACTTTGAATACTTTGCATTGCTCACAACGTTATAACCTGGTTGAGCACCATGAATTATTTTTGAAAACTTAAACCGGAAGCGCTGCCTTTAGTAAATTAGTTTGACAGTGTTGTGATAACGAGGTGCAGCTGCGGTAGTTGAGTAGACGTCAAGCAGAGGAAAGGAGACTGGGCCGACCAGGAGACAGCGGACAGCATAAATGGCCTCGCTGCCCACGGAGTGAAGGATGGCCTGCATGGTATCGCATCCATGGCCAGATCCACCAACAGAAGCGCCGAGGAGGGGGACTCTCGGGTAACCGCCCCCACTGACCGCGGAGAGTCGCGGGACCTGGCCGAGCCCCGGGAACTGTCTCTGGAGGAGGTGCTGAAGTCCTACGAGCAGCCCATCAACGAGGAGCAGGCATGGGCGGTGTGCTACCAGTGCTGCAGCGGGCTGAGGGTGCCCCGCCCGCCGGCCGGGAGAGTCAGCCGGGTGAAGGACCCGTCCTCCATCCTCCTGCGCAGGGACGGAACCGTGTCATTACAGCAGGAGCCCCGACACAACGGTAGGACAGCCGCCCGCTGATTCCCCAAACTCCCCACTGCCCTGTCGCTTGCTTCTAATAACTCTGACACAAAACTCAAATATGAAAAAGTAAATTCTAGCCGTGTGTCCATGCTGGGCAAAGTAAATTAGCGTTTACAGTTTGACACAACATTGTTTTTTCAATATTAGGAGCCACTTTTCAATTCGGCTAAAGTTATGTCCATGTGTCAGCACTCTGTTTTAGTAAAATCTCCACTTTTTCCAGTGGACCGCCAGATTCCCGCCGTCTTCTTCGGTGATCTTACTCCGGTAGAAGGCAACTAAACCGTGCGAACCGTTCTCTCGAGTCAAATTTACTAGACCATATCCTCCCGTGTAGAAGAATTTAAGAGTGGCTTTCAGAGATAAAAAAACAAAACAAAACAATAGTTAAGTAATCATGTTGTAGGCTATCTAACGTTAAAAGGAACATAAAACTAAAACCACAAATGAAATTATCTGATTTTCATACGGTGTTTGGCGCACAGGAACATCTTGTTCGTGGGAGAGAAACAACATGATATTCCTGCCTGATCGACCTTCAGCTGGATTATTTGATAATTTAGCAGAAGCTTGAACTGCTCTTACACAAACGGACACTGCATTTTGATTCGGACAGCTAGTATTTTGTCGCACTCCCGATGCCAACAAGGATGACTTGTATTATGCCGGTAAACGATTAAATATTCATAGAGCATAGCCGAGCATCTCCTCTTGCAAAGACTGTTTTGGAGACTTCAAAGGATGGATGGAAGCCCAAAGGATTTTGCGCAGTCTTGTGCATGTTCCCCCCACTGAATTTAGCCTGTACCTGCATAATATCCTTCTGTATGTTAAGTATTTATGTCCCCACTGCGGGCCCGGCCCAAGAAACCTGTTCCAGACGTCACAGAGACAACTTCAGGCCTAACTTCCTCTATCTGTCCATCTTATTTGGACTGCATATGATGGTGAATGTACAGACAGGCCACTTTACAATTAATCCACATAGCACTTGTTTAAATAAACTTTCAACTTTTGTATTCCCACAGTCTTGGGCACTGACAGCCATAATTCCACAATATAGTTATCATATCAATCTTAGTGGGGGAAAAAAAAAAGAGCTCATGTTGATTGTGTAACAAGCAGTCACAACCTGATGAACGCTGCCCTTTTGTGCTGTTGTTTTCACCTAGTAACAGCTGTTCAGCACCTGTTCAGGGATCTAACAGGGAAATTTCACAGTTTGTCTTCAGGCAATGCTTGTTGCGTGGCAACAGGATGGCCTCTATGTTAAACTGTTATTAGTTTGTCATTTAGTAAGTGTGAAAGTCATGACTTAAACTTTAAAATTGCACCCAGAGACCCCTATTCCATGAGTTTAGTTGACTTTTAATACTCCGACATACACTGTCTACATGGTGAAGAGGTAATTTTGGTGAGATTCTAATAATAATTCCCTTTGTGTTCTACTCATTCAGACTATAATGACTTTTAAGTGTTCCTCATTTTGCTGGAAATCCTTTGGATCCTCCCCATGGACCACAGGGAAACACTGGAACTACTTAAGATCCTGTTGCAACACCTTCGCTGTGATCATTAGTTCTCAACTCTCAAATTCAAATAGCTTTATTGGCATGAATGTACAGCAACAAAATTGCCATTGCTCTCACTGAGGAGATGTTTAGCTCTAACTAACAGAGTTGTTCATCCTTGTAGCCTGAGTTGGTTTACGCTCTGCTGTTGATGCACGAGTAAACACGATCCATATCGCAGCAGTGGTGTAAATCCCTTAACCAGCATGAAGGGAGTCTATTACAGTGAGTCTGTCGGCATTTTTAATGCAGCTAGTAGGCTAGAGGACAAATCTTTAAGTGGCAAAATTCATCCCAAAACATCATGCCAGTTTTAGGTAACGGGCCTATAGAGGAAACAATATTGGTCAATATCTGAGGTCCAAGCTTCATTATTAATGTAGTTTATTTATATAGATTTGTTTTTATTGAGCACTTTAACTTATTTTTGCTACTCACAGATGCAACTTTAGGGTCACTAAAACCTACTGCCTAATTTCGCACAGATAAAAGCATGGCTTATAATTACTTTAAATGTTTGTGCAGTATATTCTAATAACATAATATACAACATCAAAATTGTGTTTTAACATCACCTCATAAAAGTAGATCTGTTTAGTTTTTCTTCTGCGTGTCCTCTGGGGTCACCACGTTGTCTCTGTGAGCAGTGCTGTTCTAATGTTGCTCATATTTTGCCTGGTTATCAATCATTTCTTTCTTTAAAAAAATACTTATGAAACAACTATATACAGAAGAGCAACTAAAAAATAACACACAGGATTCTCTAATGACACAAGCCATATACTGTGACTACCCTGGGATTATTCATTACTTTGTTGCATATTTTCCCTTGTTTATACTATTCTAAATTTAATATTTTTAGTTCATGCCCTTAACCTCAACCTAGACCCTAATTTCCCATGTTTTTGTGTCTATGTGACTAGTTGGGCCAACACTGTTTGAAATTGGTCCAGTACTGAGCAGCAGCAAAACAGGGCTGCAACTAATCCTTGTGGGCAATTTTGTCCCGTCACAGTACGTCCACTCAAGTCCTTGTTTTATGACAGGCACAGATTGTTATTGCAAGTTTCTGACACTTTTAGTCATCTCACATAATCTTATTCAGCAGGAATATGGACTTTTACACAGTTGTCATGGAATGTCTTGAGGTTCAGAGTTAATTCTTGACCTTGGACCCCGTAGCTGAGAAAACAATCCCTCTACAAGGTCCATTTAGTAGCTGCTCTGGAGCTTTCGATCACATCACATAGCGTTCATTACCAGATGGTCAAACACTGGCATTCTTCTGAGCAGGTAGCACTAGAGCAAATGCTACCTAAATGTTCAGCATCTTAGTTAGATTCACCTGAGCCAATCAAAAAATCTTGCTAAAAGGCACATGTAGATGATATATTTGATTTCTGTCAGAGCGTTGGTGGGTGTACTTGCTACTCCATCCTGGGAATAGTTTTAGTACTCACAGCAGGTAGCCTAGGCAGTCTCAAATGACTTTCTGTTTCCTGAAAATCTAAACCTCATCAGGTTGTACACAACCATCAGCAAAAGGAGGAGGAACTTAATGTGAATCTAAATATGAGCTGGGACTGAAGCTGCGCTATGTAGCGTTTCTGAGCCGGCTTGCATTAGCCACCAGCCTGTGTCTGCATTGCTCAGAGTTGGAGATTCTGTGTGAACAACTTTAGGGACAGTCACTGAGGATATAAATACCTGATCAAAGAATGAGAATATCTGTCTGGACATTCAGTGTCAGCTTCCGCTACTTGACATTTTTCAATACTCAAATGGAAATATAATACTTGTAAAAATGAGGATTGGAACTTTGACTTTTGTCCTGTCTCATCCCAGGTGCAGCTCTGTCCTTTATGTGAGTCAGGACCACATTATCTTCAGCCACATTAATATATGTATGACTATGTGAGCCTAATGGAAATCCTATTATCTCTCCCAAAACCTGGTCTTGCTCACTGTGGCTGCAATGTCCCATATTCCAAAGTGCTCACTTTGACTGTGTTGATACAATATGAGGTTCTGAAAAGCTCCTGATTTGTCTATTTAACTATGGATACCTTCCTCCTGTATCAACTGCGTAAGTAATTCCTCGGTTTGAAATTAAGCTCCTTATAGTTTCATTCTGAAGGCTGCTGAAGGGTGAGGTTAACAGCACGTAAGGCACTCAGCAGGAAGTCAAAGTCCAGATACATCTCGTTCCTGTCAGATAAGAAGCTTGCATCACTGCTTTTTACAAGATGAACGACAAAAAGCACTTTTGAGCTGGCTGACCGTGCACTGATGAAACGTAAGACTCCCGAAAATTTGATTTGCATTCGGTTCCCCATTACAGCGTCACTCTGCTCGTCAAGAGAATATACCAAATTTCCATCACACAGGGGGGAGCGTTCATAAAGCCAGTACATGTAACTTGCAACTCTAGATCTGAATGCTTCCCTGATTTATTTATTTATTTTTAGGGGGAAATCCTGTCCAACTATATTAAGGATTTCTTTTCTTCTTGAATACTGCTCTCCTTCAATAAATGCACTCATAATGAGTGCAAAGGTTAACTTTGACCTGACATGTAGGCGTGTAGTTACACCCTGCTATATCTGACAGGTAGTTAGAGGTAAAGGTGATTTCAGGTGACAACTGTAAAAGAGAATCTTCTGTCCTTGCTTTTCCACTTCTCTTATTTCTTTTCCTTCTTTCGGTCTCTCTTATTCATGTATGACTAGCTTTGTTCTTCTTCAGTCAGACTGATGTTTTTGGCCATGATGCTGGCATTGCTCAACGGACGGCCATGTTGGTTGGTCGGTCAGGAGGTTGGTCCACCACTTTGGTCCAGACTGAAATATTTCTACTTCTATTTGATAGATTACTGTGACATTTCATACATCCCCTCAGTATGATTTGTAATAACTTTGGTGACTCCTCTGCCTTTCCTTCCAGCACCATTGTCAACACTTATGAGTTGTGACCAAATACCTTCAAAATGACGTTCCCATCAGCCTTAGCTGTACTTTGTGGCTGTGTGAGCGCCTACTTAAAAAAAAAACTACTACTGAGCAGCAGTAAGATTTTGGACTCTTTCATCACTGAGAAGCACAACTATAATTTTCATATCTAATAAAATGTAACCCAGTGCATTGTGGAATTGTTAGTAAAAGTTTTCCATTGTGGAAATTTTTTAGGGCACTATGATGCATAAATTCCACACGGAGAATTCGTACACTCAGATAAAATGACGGAAAACAAATATAGGCATTATATAGCAAATAGGGAGTCACTTCAGACAAGGACTACTTTTAGAACTAGTTACATTATATTTGCCAAATATCTTGTTAAAATTGTCCTTGTTAGCATGTTGCCATGTAGACGTTAGCACTTAGCCTCACATTCACTAGCATTGCTGTAGATGGAAAGCTTCTTTTTACTAATAGTGCCAATATATTAAATAACCACAACATATTTTCAGTTCACCAAAACAATTAAGGATAGAAAAACAAACTTTAGACATAAACTTTAATCCATTACAATTTGGTATTCTTTACAATGAGTACTACAGCCTCAGAGAGCTGCTAGCATGCCTTTAGGCTTAGTGTCTTGCTGATGTCCCCTGTTGTAATTTAACTCTTTGGACCAGAGGTGTCCTATTAACATTTCCAAAAGCTCATAAACTAAGCCATTCAAGCTCAGATGAAAACCCATTCTAAAATTCAAATGCTTTATTATTGTGTAAACTGATGTACTGTGGAAAAGCAGAGCAGCGTGATGGAGCTGTAACGTCTCAATGGCCTAAACATCCTTCCCCTGTCCACATGGCTAACTGGGTTGTGCTTTCCAAGATCCTCGTTTGAAAAAGTATATCCGTAACTGTGGGAAACTGGTGCAGCTATCACCGGCCGTATTGTTTGAACCTGTCTGACTGGTTCGCAGGGGTTCATGTTATCATCTCGTTCTGTAATAGAGAGTTTCTTCGCCCTCCTTTATGGCCAGTTGCTGCCTTTTGTTGCAGATTGAAACCGTGTCTGTGTTCACACGGGAAACAGTGACATGTCCTGCTCTCAGCACTTTGTTGTTGACAGGGGGAGGATGTTGTGGCAGGCTGCCCCCCCCCATCACCACGTCCACACAGCTCTCCACTTCTCATGTGTGGTGTTTTTTTTTTTTTTTTTTTTTTTTTTTGCTGACCTCTCACTCCTTTCATCGCTTTCTCTCTTCCCTGATGTTTCCACGGGTTCTCTCTCTCTCTGTCTCTCTGTCTTTGTCCCTGTCTCCTTCCTCTCTTGTCCGTCCATTCTCCTGTTTCTCTGCAGTGAGAGCTGCTGATCGAGGAGTTTCAGGCCTCTCGAGTGTCATTACTGACATCTGAGCTGGGCGAAAGAGCTTTTTTACTCTTTCACACACACACACACACACACACACACACACACACACATACTTAGGCATGCCAAACCTGGCTGCAACACAATAATGCATAGCCAAGTTATGGCTGTGGACATATGGAGTAACATATTTGATTTAGTGAGAATATTGAAAACGGGCTGACTTAGTTTTTTGTTGCTATAAAATTCACAGCATCACTATTAGTGGCACACATATTGGGTTTTCTTATTGGAAGCATTCCTGATTTTGTTTAAAGTGCCCCAGGCAACATTTTAAGTAAGATCTGTATCTATATGTATCTACAAACACAGGAAGTGGCAAATAAAATTTAATATGAAGTATAAATCTGTCTTCTTGAAAACTGCAGAGTGCCAGCTGTCAGTTAAAAGCTTTATTTTGGAAAGAAACACATGAAAGAAGCAGAAACCATAAGCAGTACCTGTTTTGTCTCTTCTCTGTCATTGTGGTTTTCCCAAATGCTCACATTCATATGAAACTGATAAGAAAAAGTAATTGAGGAGCATATTATAGCGTAAGATGCAAACTATTCAAATCAAGCCTTCTGATTAAAATATGGATAAGTTTTTTTCTAATGAAGAAAAATGGGACACTAAACCCAAAAGAAAACAAAATCCATTCTGTTCACAGAAACGAGCCAAACCTTGGACAGATTTGATGAAATTAAGACAATATCCCCTTACTAATAAAACTGCCAAAAAGCACAGTCACATTTTAAAACCATGTATGAAGACTCTGCATTAAGAAGATAAGAAAATCAACTTCTACTGGGAAAAAGATGGAAACTATTATGAGACCAGTCTGGTATCCCAAACCAAACAAACAAACATCTTTACACAAAAATAAACTAATTAATTTTAAAATAAAATATCACACATAACAAGTCATTCTTTGGCATATGGGTTTTTAAACTTTTATATACTTTAATACAAGTTCAAATGGGGCATGAAGCTTTTTTTTTTTTTTTTTCATTTGTATATTCACTACTACTCTGTTATATCACTACTTTTTATTTATTCATAATATCTATTATTGACGTTAGCAGCATGTTTTTGGTCAAAATGTCATGGCAAAATAAAAGCCTCATTGGATTGAATTTTTGCAGAAGGTTAAAGTTTATAACCTTATATTAACAGTCTTCAGAGTTATTTTATGTGCTGTTTGGAAACAAAAGTGAATTGAACTTTTTGAATTGGGGGGAAAAGTAAAGAAATCACATTCAGTAATCATGTAAGTAAAATTCTGCACATCTCAGACCTAATTGGTTGTGTATCTCCTCCTTTGTCTCTTCAGATGATACTGATGCGCCTCCTCTTCCACCTGCTACCGAGCGTCAGGTGAGAAAGAAAGAAGAGCGACACAAAGCACTTCGCTGTTCAAATGGTGATTTATTGTAAAATTTACTATCGGGTATTGCAAAACCTTTTTTTCCTTTGCCATAAAAAGGTTTATTCAGGTGACTTAAACTATATTTTACACATTATGAATTTCACTTATTTTCCAGTAGTGTTTGGAATAAATTTTTTTATTTTTATTTCATGTGAATGCTAAATTAAAAGCTTTTGTCTTAGCTAGCTCTTATGTAATGCTTAGTGTTGAGATTAGAAAGCAAATTACTGTCATTTCACTTCTGCCATTACTCCAGAAGCTGCTGTAAACAAAATGCCCACATCGCATAACTCACAAATTTCCCAGCAGATCATGGGAATTTTTTTTATTTATGTGAAACTCCATGTTAAGGTTTTGTCTGAGCTGATTAATTTCCATCCGTTTGGGTGTTCAGCCGGATATTCACAAAGTTTTTTGTGAGAAATGTTATTGGTCAATGTTTTCTCGTGCCTCATCATCCATCCCTCCAGCTGGTCCATTCGCTTGGTGTGGCCATCTACCGAGCTCTGGACTGGGGACTGGACGACAGCGAGGAGCGGGAGCTCAGCCCGCAGCTGGAGCGCCTCATCGAACGCATGGCTGCGGGGGACCAGGGCGAAGAGGGTGACAGCACGGCCGGGAACGGTACAACGGATGAGGGGTACAGTGGCCAGGAGGAGGAGGAGGAAGAGGAGGAGCAGGAGGGAGTGATAAAGCCGGTGTGTACGTTCCGCCAGGTGATGGCGCTGTGTGCGTCTCGGCTGACCAACCCAAGCTTGGTTCCAGAGCACTACCAGGCTGTCTGCAGGGCTCTGTTTGTAGAGACTCTGGAGCTGCAGACCTTCCTCATCAAGATCAGAGATGCTAAGGAGGTAGGTTGGATTAGGTTGTCATGGCAATAATAATGTAACCCTTAAAAAAAGAACGCCTGTTTCCTTTTATTTTTTTTAACATTTAGGGAATAAATACAGGAAAATGGATACATGACCAGCTGTTCATTTGTTTCAGTGCCTCTGCCTCCAGTGGCCTGCACCTCACTGAGTGTGCACTCTTTGGATTTGAAATGCTTATAGCCCTGCTCCATTAATATTCCTGTTTACTGAGCAGAGACAGAAACTACTGAAGATGCCGCCTCCAGTTTCCTTCCAGTGCTCAGCCTTGACTTCTTGACTTCTCTTGTGTCACTGCAGTTGTTTAACCTTGTTGATGTACAAACAGAAGGTAGGCACTGCGTCTTTAGCAGAGAGTAGAGTCATTAGTTTGATTAAAGTGTACGCTGTGTCCTTCAATGATACAACTAGGATTTGATGCTCCATAGTAATTTAGTTAATTGTTCGGTTATCACCTGACTTGAGCAGACTTGAAAGGACAAACGTGTTAGGTTAAAACTGATTATTTGACTTTGACTGTTCTGCATTGTTCACATCCATGTTTGCTAGCTGGCCGACTTCTTTTCCACCTTACCTTTGCTGGTGCATTGCTACGTTTCTTCGCACGTTACCACATCAACTGTCAATCAGTGGAATAGTATGAAACTGTCATTGGGAATGTGTATTGCGTTGTCCCACACAACACGTGTGTGTCCTTGTGCATGTGACACAAACAAAAAACGCTTGTAAAACAAATTTTTTATGGCACTTCTAGTGGTCAAAAGTCCACCAGCTGTTTGGTTTGATCCTGTTAACTTTAGCGGTAGCTAATCAATCCATACCTGTCGGCTTGTTTACTGTCTGCTCGTGCATGTGTCCCACGTAGGGTTTCAACATGAAAATACTGCAGTCTATTTAAAGTTATTGAGGTAGAAGGTTGTTGGTAAAATTGGTAGTCCCTTCATGCTACACACAACATATAATTAAGCGTAGGCCTATATTAAAATATTGTAACATATAAAATAAAACAATACAGTTATTCATATACATTTGTACATACAGGGTGGTGATGGCGCATAGATAAGATGCTTGCCTCTGGTGTGGGAGACCTGGGTTCGATTCCCACTGTGAGACATCCACCATCTGAGCAAGACACTTAACCCCTCTGCTCCAGAGGCGCCTGTCGAGTGCTTGATTCGGGGTGTTGATGGGACAGGTCTCTGTAAATATGTGGTCACAACAGTCTCTGAATTCCGTTGCTTGGTCGACATGAGTCCCATTTGTTGGTAGACCCTGGTCTGCTGCTCTTTATTCCAAAAACCCTGTCTTCATCTTCCAATGGCTGTATTTATGTCAGAGTTTAAAGAACAGATGGAAAAACAAAAGTGTAGCAAAGTTTGAAGGAGCTACCGGCTGCTGCTGCTTCAACAAGTGCTGCCGGTTGCCATAGCTTCAGATCTCGCACTGTGTGGCAGCCAAACCAGTGTTTGAAATGTCACTGTTTAAGCTTTCAGTTGTTTAAAAAAAGCCTAATGTGTCTCTTTCTCTTTGTTGCACAGATGCTGAAGAAGATCACAACAGGGGAAGCTGTGGAAGACTCTACAGCTGAGCTGGACGCACTGAAGCACAGAGACTGGGTGAGACCAAACAAGCGAGGGCACGCTGTGACAGGGAGGACAATGCAGCTGTGTTTTTGACTGAAGCAGGCAGTGTGGACGCATGCAGACGTGTGATGTTGTTGGTATTGTTTCCATCCCAGGCACGTCTGTGGGTGCAGCTGATGAAGGAGCTCAGGCAGGGAGTGAAGCTGAAGAAGGTGCAGGAGCAGCCGTTCAACCCGCTGCCCACCGAGTTCAGCCTCACACCCTTTGAGATGCTGATGCAGGACATACGAACTCGCAAGTTCCAGCTACGCAAAGTCATGGTGAGAAACAAGACTTATAAAAAAAATAGTGAAGCATTACACATGCTATGATTAAGAAGATATGTAAGCAACTGAAATGTTTATGCCATGACAAGAGTTGAAATTGGCAGTTGATTATTAAACACTGCAAGCAGTTAAACTGTAATTCGAAGAGTAAGAGATGAAGCAGCTGAGAAATGAAAGCAATTTACATTTCAGTTGTAGATGAGGCAGTGGACATTTTGAAAATATGTGCACTACAAATCATTGCATTATCAGTTTGTATGGAAGCACCAAGAGCAGTTGAAATGTCATCTGACGTAGGTGAACGTTCAGTAAAAGAGAAAATATCAGTTCAAATGTCAGTTGTAGAGTAGGCACTTAAAGCTGTTGAAATGTCAGCAGAGGTGTGAGCTGCAGCTAAACCAAACCATCACAGATCTTGAGGATATCATGAAATCTTTCTTCCCTGAAGTGTTCTCCTCACTTGACTTTGTTCAAATGGGGCACGAGGACTTGGAGGGCAGACGGGAGTGAGACTGACCCCTGTTTGTCATTTAATGACCTTGAAGTCACTCTCCTCTTTCTCAGGCAGACCACTGTGCCATTTACTGTACAGGGTTTGTTACAGGAAGAATTGTGCAGCAGGTCAGGCATAAATGTGGCACCTTGAGGTCTTCTCCACGGGCACATATATTTAATTCAGCCTCAGAACACTAATATTAATGAAGACTGCTCTCTGCCTTCTGTTGTTCTGGCAGAAGTTGCACAGAAAATCATCAGCCAGCTATGCAGTTCCCCTCAGCTCTGGGGAGCATTTCAGCTTCGTTCAGCTCTTTGTTTTGGTTTTATTGCCTGCAACTTAACTGTTTTGGTTCAGTCTCACAGTTCTTGTCAGCCATGTCTCCAGCCACAGCCGGTAGTTTTCAGTGAAAAGCCTAAAGGGAGAGTGAATATTGGACTTTTCAGGTGGTCCTACTAATGTTGCTGCTGAACATGTTAATATGTAAATAGACTAACATGTTTGCTTTATGTCATTGTTGTGTTTACAGCTTGTTGTATTGTCCTTAAGTGACCAAATATCTATTAATGCGGCTTTAACATTCTGACTAGTGTAAACTCACGATGCACTAAATACTACTAATAATACTACTGTACTAATTTCTCTGTAATACCTTGCTGCATGGCTGCATCTTACTGTATTTTTTAGAGACTCAGTGCTACAGTTGGTGTCTCTTGTCTTACCCAGGTGGGTGGTGACATTCCTACAAGAGTAAAGAGAAATGCCCATGAACTGATACTGGATTTCATCAGATCAAGACCTCCACTTAAACCAGTGAGTGTGTTTAGCCTTGTAATAGAAGTTCTCCACAACAGTGTGCAGAAGGGTGCATACAAGTGGGCAGTTTTTCCTGCTATATACAGTATACCTGGAAAACCACTGAGTGTGTCATAGAAGCAGTGGAGAATGTTGTAAACAATAATTGAGCTTAGAAACAAAGATGTCTCATAGTGTCTGTAAAATAGCTTAATGAGGTTAATGTGACAGTGAACTGCCTTTGTCTCGAGCCCACTTGTCCCCTGACTGAACTCCAGTGTAACATGAACTGTAGCATTAGTCTGGGATCTTGTTTTTTTTGGCATTGTTGGTTAGTTTACAGCTACTAACTAGAAACGATAAATGCTACGTCAGTATGAGCCCCTAACAATAGCTTTTACTGGAAACTGTATTGATTTATTACTGCTCAACACTGACACAAGTTAATGCACGCTTTTAGGTAATACATTATTGTACTAACATTAGTTTCCATTTACATATAACTTGTTTTTGACTGATACATTGCTAACATTCGCTTCTCCTTGATGTTTGTCCATTGCTAATACATTACTGAGCCAGCATACTACATACATTAACACCAGCCTCTAGCTGATAACTGAACTTATAAAAAACATATACCGCATACACAATTCACACCCAGAGATTTGTTTTACGAGGTGGTATTTTGGCTTTTTCCCTCTCCTTTTTTGTGCATGTAATAGGTTTGCAAAGTGGAAAAAGCCCAAAAGGAGTTCCCATCCCCCACAGAGAACTCTGCTCTGAACTGCCTGAAAACAGCTTGTTTGGAGTCCAGCCGCTTCTCTTTGATCCCTGTGATGTCACAGGGATGAAAGTTAAATGCGCCTCATGTAATACTAGCCAAGCGGCTAGTCCGACACGCCCTCAAAAACAGCGGTGGAAAAACACACTGCAGCACACACTCTCCTCTCCCTTCCAAACACTAGCTACCCTCCAGGCAGTCACTGGACAGAAAGTTGTTACTGTCATGTAGAGACAGAGCTCAGTTAAAACTTTATGGATGAAAGATACTTTTGTTACAGATTAATAACTCACCACTCTGAAACTCTTGCTCCAGTCTATGTTGCCAAACTGGTCGGCAACATGTAGCCTACAGCTGAATCCAAGCTGTTTAAGGGCTTCTCGCTGACCCGCCCTTCTCTGCTTCTGATTGGCTAGTAGTCCTTAACTAGGAACTGAGCATGTGCAACTCCCAACAAAGATCATTTAGAGACAAGATGTATCACTCCATAGCTAAAACGAAGCCTTCAACACAGGGTGAAAAGAGGCAGCAATGGTGGTTTTTGAAAATTAAACCACGTAAATCTGTTCTGGGTTTACATGAACCTGAAAATGAGCATAATACCACCTCTTTAAATCAGCTTGTTAACTTAAAATAACTTTATTTCAGATTTGCAGTATTCACCATGGATATCGTGGTGCACACAGGGATGCAAAATTGAATTACTGTCTTAGCCATCTCTTTTTGTTTTTGTTTCAGAAGCATAGATGTGTTCTTATTATTTGTCCACATTAGGTATCGGAGCGCAGCCTCCCCCCTCCTCCCCCGCAGCAGCAGTCCCTCCATGACCGGGTCCTGGCTGAGATCAAGCAGGAGAGAAAGCTCAGGCCTGTGGTCCTGCCCAACTCCAGGCGTAAGGGGACAAAAACATTCAGTACTAAACAAAACATAACAAATATGCTGATTTATGTTAATACTGTGTGTGTGTGTGTGTGTGTGCGCGCATTAATAGATACACTATCTGTCTTTATTAAACACATTTTATTTGATTAGGATAAAAGAACATTTTTCCAATTGATCTATGGTGATAAGGTCCTATGATTGCGCTTGACACACCATGCCTGTGTGTTGTGTTTGTTTGTCTCTAAGCTACTTATTTAAAGTCATATCTTGGCTTTCAGTGCGGGTCATGTTGTGCTATCCAGAGAGCAAATGTTCTACTGAAGGTGAATGGACCAACCGTTCTGCTAAATAATGACTTGAGGGCTGACGCTCTAGCTTGTACACTCTGTACTGTACTGTAGTCTGTGAGGGTCACACTACAGTTATGTACTGCATACAAGTTTGTAAGCTGTAGTGTGTAACGAGTTTTTCTTGGGTTTAGAGCTACAGTTCATGTGGAGGTGACATTGCATTTCATAAATGTTGTCCAGCTATTTACAGATCGAGGTCATTTAGCGTGTGTGTGTGTGTGTGTGTGTGTGTGCGCGCGCCGTTGATGAAGGAGTCTTAGAGATGGTGAAATCATACAACACATCATCTGAACACTAAACAAAAAACACACTGACTTGAAAACTTGCTTTGTTTAAAACTGCTATGGGTAATTTGTGAAAAAGAGGAATCATGCAACATGTACAGTGGATAGAAAGTCTACACATCCCTGTTAAAATGCCAGGTCCTTGTGATGTAAAATAATGAAACGAAGATAAATCATGTCAGAACTTTGTCTACCTTTTAATGTGAACAAATCAATTGAAAAATAAACTGAAATCTTCGAGGGGGAAATGAAAAATAAAAACCTTACAATAACCTGGTTGCATAAGTGTGCACACCCTCTTATAACTGGGGATGTGGCTGTGTTCAGAATTAACCAATCACATTCAAACTCAGGTTAACTAGAAGTCATTACACCCCTGCCATCATTTAAAGTGACTCTGATTAATCACAAATAAAGTTCAGCTGTTCTGGTAGGATTTTCCTGACATTGTTTTAGTTGCATCTCAGAGCAAAAGCCACGGTCCGCAGAGACCTCATTGTTGAAGGATATCAGTAGAAAAGCATTTCCAAAGCATTAGATATACCATGGAACACAGTGAAGACAGTCATCATCAAGTGGAGAAAATATGGCACAACTGTGACTTTACCAAGAACTGGATGTCCCTCCAAAATTGATGGAAAGACGAAAAGAAAAGTGGTCAGGGAGGCTTCCAAGAGGCCTACAGCAACATTAAAGGAATTTCTGGCAAGTACTGGCTGTATGGTGTGACAACTATCTCCGTGATTCTTCAAATGAATGGCCTATCAGGTAAGGTGGCAAGACGAAAGCCTTTTCTTACAAAGAAAAACATCCAAGCCCGGCTGAAGTTTGCAAAAGTCCCCCAAAAGCATGTGGGAGAATGTGTTATGGTCTGATGAAACCAAGGTGAAACTTTTTGGCCATAATTCCAAAAGGTATGTTTGGTGCAAAAACAACACTGCACATCACCCAAGGAACAGCATACCCACAGTGAAGCATGGTGGTGGCAGCATCATGCTTTGGGGCTGTTTTTCTTCAGCTGGAACCGGGGTTTAGTCAGGGTGGAGGGAATTATGAACAGTTCCAAATACCAGGCAGTTTTGGCACAAAACCTTCAGGCGTCGGTTAGAAAGCTGAAGATGAAGAGGAAGTTCACCTTTCAGCACGACAACAACCCAAAGCACACATCCAAATCCACAAAAGCATGGCTTCACCAGAAGAAGATTAATGTTTTGGAACGGCCCAGCCAGAGCCCAGACCTGAATCCAACTGAACATCTGTGGGATGATCTGAAGAGGGCTGTGCACAGGCCATGTCCTCGAAATCTGACAGCTTTTGCAAAGAAGAGTGGGCAAATATTGCCACGTCAAGATGTGCCATGCTAATAGACTCGTACCCAAAAAGACTGAGTGCTGTAATAAAATCAAAAGGTGCTTCAACAAAGTGTTGGTGTAAGGGTGTGCACACTTATGCAACCGGGTTATTGTAAGTATTTTATTTAAAAATTTTCCCCCTTGAAGATTTCAGTTTGTTTTTCAATTGAATTGTTCACATTATAGGTCACATTAAAGGTAGACAAAGGTCTGACATGATTTATCTTTGTCTCATTATTTTACATCACAAGAACCTGGCATTTTAACAGGGGTGTGTGGCCTTTTTCTATCCACTGTATAGTAGGGTGACCTCTTCAGCAGTGGGACCTTCATTTTAGTAAGCCTCATACTAGCTGATATGTCCATGAGGAAGGTACTGAATCCTTAGCAGTTTGTTTTTTAGTTTGTGGTAGTTTAAAAAAAACTTCAGTTTCTTCTCTTCAGTGTTGGAAATGTAGTCCGAAATTGTTGGTGTACAGTACTTACACTAATGTCTCAAAATGAGTCATTGATGCTAAAATGCTCCATGTCAGAATCCCTGCCCTCTGATCTAAATGCTTCTGACTTATTTGTTCCCTGACCGTGCTTTTGGTTTCTCTTCCCTCAGCATTTGGCTCTCTGCCCTGCCTGGCTCAGACTTGTCCTTGTAATGTCAAATCTACTTCGTGCATCGACCTGTCCGTGGCAGAGCCCGGGCCCAGGCCGCCGTCCCGCCCTCGCATCCTGCTCAAGGCTCCAACTCTGGCTGAGATGGAGGAGATGAACATATCTGAGGTGAGGCCAGGCAGGAACTTGAACACTGACATTTTTCAGGAGTAGGGGCTCTTAGAGCTAACTGGTGTTTTTAAGCTCAGATAGCAGAGAGGGAGGGGAAACATGGACTGTGATGACCTGGGAAATTGTCTTTTCATCCACGTTTCGCTCACTTGCATCTTAGTCCCTCCCAAGGGGGATGCACAGAGAGACGCTTGGAAACCATGTGAGGAGAGAAGAAAGGAGGAAATATGTTTTTAGAGAAGCATCATGTGAAGCGACGGATCAGCTGTCAGTCTGTTCTAACAGCTGTAGAGGCTTTTGATTGAATTTGTGTCTGCACACATGTGCTCTGTGCCGATACAAATAAAGGCTCACAGTTATCACTGCAGCAGTGTTTCTATCTGTAGCTACTTACCTACACATGAGGAACACCCTGCATTCTGTGGTTACACTGTGTACTGTGCCCTGCTCAGAGGCACAGGATCAATTCTACTGGCAGAGAGAGTTTCTGTTATTTATTCCGTATTTGCATCTGTATTTATTGATCTTCTGATGTGAATTTATTTTTGAATAATCCCGAATATGATCATGGTGTGTTTTGAACATTGGAAAGGATTCATTTCAGTATTTTTTTTTTTTTTTTTGAAATATCCTCCCTGGCCCAAAGGGGGAGCCAGCTGCAGGTCAAAACTAACTTCTGCTTCATCCAGGGGGAGGGGTATGTTTACTGCTGCCTTTTCAGTGCCTTCTGTTTTCCTTTTCACCTCACATTTTGTATGCACTATAAGTAAGCCAAATATAGGTTAGAACAGCTCACCTTCTATCTTCTTCTCCTCTTCTACTTTGTGGTTACCGTGAAGAATATATTTTATGGATGTCTTATAAAACCCAGTCTCTTACATGAGTTTAAGCCTCCTCTAGCTCCTGTTACTGGCAGGCTCTTTAACTGAGACCCATAGCTGTGACAAATAGTGACAAACATATTTTTTCTCATTTGTCCTCTTCATATGTCACTTGAAACATTCTGTCACCTTCTGTCCTTCACCTGTCCTTTATTTTCGTCCTTAACCTCCAACCCCTCCTGATTTGCCCCCTCACTTCCTTTTTACACTTCCTCCCCACCCTTAACCCTTTACCTCCCTCTCCAACTTCCATCCCCTCCGCAGGAGGAGGAGTCCCCAGACAACGGTGAGCTGCGGAGGGCAGAGAGCTCCCCCACACCTCTGAAAAGAGATCGCTCCTTCTCAGAGCACGATCTGGCCTTGCTCCGTGGCGAAATCTTTCCTTCCCTCTCTGAGTCGGCCCGGCTGGGTGGAGCGGTGAGGCTGAGGGGTGATAGGCCTCGGTCCAGGACGCTGACTGGCGCCGGCCCACTTCCTAATCACAGAGGTCAGTATACAAATATACTTACTTACGTTTATTAAAGGTTAACTTCTATATATAGAGCATTACACAAGTAATATACCATCTGATTTACAGGGCACTCATTTTTAGGTCAAAGCTGGTCATGAAATTTCTTAAATATCGTTGAAATTAGAGATTTCCAGCATTCCAAATGGGGAATATCAGCAAAATTGCTCATGGAGTCTATTTGCTTCACACCTTTATTAGATGGTGGTTTTTGACTCATTAGTAGAGGAAACCAGACATCAATACTGGAAACCTTTTGAAGAATTACAGTGTGCACCCCTAACAAGACTCCACATTAATTCAAAGTGTTAGAAGTCCAAAGACGATTATACTGGTATTTGGAGAGTATCTAAAGACTTTACACCTACGAAAAAATCATCTACTAATGACCGCTGAGTGAGTCACCCTACTTACAACTGAGTTATGGCCATTAAAACGTTGTAGGCAGCCTGCAATGAAAATACACACACGTTTACGGTTTTATCTATTTATTTAGTTAAATTTTAATATATTTTTATTTTTTTTGCGCACACGTTGTTATACATTCATGACAATAAAACTGATTTGAATTGAAATGAAAAGACTGACTCAGACTCGTGGCCCTCTGTGCCAGATGATTCCCACTTGCTGCAGTTTTAATTCTCCTCCAACAGAAGGGGACACAGTGCCAGTTATACCACAGTCCAGTCTTTGGCTTCCACAGTCTGTATAGTTATCCTCACATTTGTTGGAGAGCTGGAGATTTGGAGATTTTTACATATAATTTAATAAACTGACATCCAAGCCCCCACAAACAGTTAAACTGAGAGCACTAAGATACAGCAGCCAGCAGTCTAAACACCCTTTTTAAATTTTCCAGCTCCTCTGCCTTGAGGCCTGGAAGGAAAGCAGTAGTGCATCAACTACAAAGTTATGACAAAACCCAACTACTTACTAAAAACAAGTTTATTTCCAGACTCCTTACCACGATAGAATTTTTTTAAAGGGTTTTATTTCAACCTTTAAGGCAATAAATTATTCACTTGTTGTGGAGACATTTTGTCCCCACTGCCTCCAGTCTATCCTCAGTAATACCTCAAGCACCAACCTCATTAAGTTACCGTTACCTCACTGAAATCAGAGCTGACTACTGTTTCAGTCCACAGTGGTACAGTCCCTACAGCTCTTGCTGACAGGGGGGAGTTGACAGGGATTATAGCAGCCATTAAGCTGTTGGGAGTGTTGTGATGGATTCTAATCAAATATAAAGATGTGCTGATAAAGTCTAACTGAGTGAAGGCGGGTAGAAGCTAATGGGTTTGAACTGTGTGTTGCACGTAAGCCACGGGGCGGATGTTCTCCGTTTGATGGTCATGATTCATGCATTAGCAACCTGGCGGTCCATATCCAGAGGTAATTGTCTGAAAAACAATCCTGACTTCTGCAAGCTGCAAGCCGATCCACGCCGCTGCATGCCACAAGCCTTAGACAAGGCCAAATAATAGTTGGATGGAGATTTATTATGTAGTACATAACTCTGCCAACAGGGGACTCTCCAGCCTTAACCGTGTGAATGTGAGGATGTAAGGATGTAAGCCTGTAAGCCCCAGCTGTCATCAGCAGCTGATCCAAATTGTATGTACTGAGGATGTTTACCGGCCTGTGGCAACCTTCCTCTCAGCCTGTTTACTTTCCATTACAGCCAAATTGACACCTTCCATTTGCAGAATCGAACAGGCAACCAGTGTGTGGTCTGTTTTTAACCCCCTCCCACAATCGGTTAACTGAGCCTCCTGTGAGCTCCACTTTTAGACCAGCCGCTGAGCAGACCTCACTGTGATCTAAGTTACAGATGTAGCAGCATGGGCTGAATCACTCCAGTGAAATCAGATTAATAATACATGACAGTGTTAAAGTCGATCAACAAACCCTCTGAAGGGCTGAGATCTGAGATGGAACTGAATGAAAGAGGCTGATGTGTAATTCATGTTCTTGTTAGTCTGGGATTTGTGGCTTTGTCCCATTCACTCCCTGACGCTGTCCTCATTTGATTCGGTCTTATTTATGTCCCCTGATAAACTCTCATTATTTCCTTCTTGTCTCTTTCACTTTTCATCTATTTCATCACCCCAGCTTCCTTCCCAGTTCATGGCTGGGAGCCGCCCTCTCCAGCCCGCCTGTCTCTGAGTTCAGTCGACGAGACCACAGAGGGATCAGAAACGATGTCGAGCTCCAGAGGTGGAGACAAGCACCAGTGGATGGTGAGTTACAATCACTGTCTGCATCAGAGCTGGTGCTTTGCTTCAAATGAATTGTCAGTGGTCCCAGTAATGAAAATGCACTGCAAAAATATTCATCCTATCAAGTCCTCTTTATCTATTATTGAGACCTTGAAATAATTTTTTTCATAAAAAAAGACCACATACAATGCAAAGTTGTGACACTGTGAAATCTCAGTCTTCTGCTTGCTATAGAGTAAACTCTTGTTCTTTATGTCAAAAATGAATGGACTGACTGACCTCTCTTCTTCTGCTATCGGTTGTTTCCAGGAGGAGTTCAGCCACCCTGTGGAGAGTCTCGCCTTGACAGTGGAAGAGGTCATCAATGTGCGCCGAGTGCTGGTCAAAGCAGAGATGGAGAAGTTTCTTCAGAACAAAGAGCTGTACAATAACCTGAAGAGAGGCAAGGTAACGGAGTGGAACTTTCCTCATTGCTGTTTCTCACTGGGCTGTCGAAGTAACTCTGTGTGTGTGTGTGTGTCAATGGGTATTTTCTCAGGTTTGCTGCTGCTGCAAAGTGAAATTCCCTCTCTTCTCATGGCCGTCTACCTGCTTACTGTGTAAAAGGTATCAAAGAAAACTTCAATCTCACATGCCACATTCATCTCTAAATGCTGTTTGATGTGTTTTCTAAATTCAAGATAAAAATACTGTACTGTATGTATTTATGTATGTACTGTATGTGTATGTCCCCAGGTTACTAAAATCCCCAAATCTCCAGAAAAAGTCCACAGCTGCATTTTCTATAAATGCTCTTACATTTCTGCAAGCGATTCTCAAAAGTAGCGCTTCAGAGAGAGTGTATGCACATGTCGATGATGATACACTTTACTGTAACTCTGCATATTGAACTGTCTGTAAACAGTGCTATATGTTACAAATACAGTGTATCACAAAGGACAAGTGTTGTAAATAACACCCACACATTTTTTTATACTTTGACTATAGCTTTCAGCTTGCTGCCTTTCATAATTCATGTTTCTGGGTGGATGTGTAAGAAAGAGAAATGATTGATTTAGCTGCTGCTCGACTCAGACTGCAGTCTTAAGCTCACATTTAACACACATTTACACACGTGCGTAGTTTTATTTTTAATATAATAACTATCTCTCTTTTTACATCAAATATCAATTAACAAAGGTAAGCGTGCATGCTAAAATTATAGTCTTTTAAAAATGAACAAAGCAATAACTTAAACAAAACATGTAGTTCTCTCAATTTTCAGATACTACATTTGTGAGCAAATGCCTCTTAAAAAATCTAATATTTTGAATGAAGTTTTGCCTAATTTTTTTCAAACTCCTTTGAAACGGGTTGTTATAATTCATAGATATCTACTTAAGGGACAGTAAGGTTACTTACAGCTTATTACAACCTGTGTCTTATTTTCATTCTTTTTGTTTTTTTCCATCATTTCTGTCACTTCTGGTAATTCACCAATGTAATTGCTGAAATCTGGAAACACAGCGACTTTGCCACTGCAAACTCCCAGTAGGGCACAAAACACAAGCAACCAGACAGGTTAGCCAGCAATTAAGGCAGATTATCTAAACCACTTTATTTTGAGGTCAGATTGAATTGTTGGGTGTAACAATTTTGATAATGGAGACGGGTACCCATGCTGATTATAGTTGGTGGTGTTGATCAACAGCCCAATTAAACTCCACAGATTTATCATACAAGTGAATAAAAACCTTCTTACCCGTTTGACATTCAGGAATAAAGGGGTATTGATTCATTTGTGTTTCTCTTACAGATCTGTCTGCGGCTCTTGCAGTGCAAAGGTATTTTTAAGAACGATGTGTTAAGTAATGACAATTCATCAAATACTTACTGCTTCATTTTTATCAGTTAAATACCACAGAGTTGAAAAGTGTTTCTGTGCTTACTTAGCTATATATTCCTTTGTAGAGCAATAGAGTTTATTTAATTGGGATATCGAACCACTTGTTAACTTATTATTATTATTATTTCAAGTTTGTACATCGTCTAGTGAAGTGTCTGGTGTTTCTGTTGAACTCAATTCTTCTGTTCTTTTGCTGGTTTGATTTGTTGCCTCAGTCCCGGGCCGTGTTGGATGTGTGGTTCTGTGCTCTGTAGGTTTGAGGTTTAGGCCGGTTGGATTGGTTGTTTTTATTTATTTATTGTGTGTTAGTGTGTAGTGCTGTTGTTTGTTGGGGTGCTGTGACTCATTTGTGTTGTGTAACATTATTGTGGTTTGTCTTTATTGATTCTTGTTTTGGTTACATGTTCATTTGTGACTGTGATTTGTCTGACAGCTAATGATCATGGTTATTTGGTGTGTACGTGGGGAGTCCTTAATGTTTGTGGATTTGAATCTGTTGGTTGTACTTGGAGACTATATAAATACTTTTATGAAAAGTATTTTGCCTTCAAGTCTGCTGTGTCCCTTCACAAGACAGTTCTCTTTCTCTTTTCTTTTCTTGTCTCTGTCTCACTGTTGTCCTCTTGTTATGCCTCTTTCTGTGCTCCAGATGAAGATTCCCTCAAAGAAGATGGCCCATATTCCTGTGTACACCGTAGGCTTCCACAGCACTCCAAAGAGCCATGGACACAAAAGCCAAGTCTATAAGTGAGTGTTTGTCTATAGAACCACCAGAGAGACAGACTGAGCCTGTTTTTGATTCATAATTTAGAACATTTTTAAAGCTGCCTTCAAATGAGACATTTGTATTTAAATACCCCTTTGAGCACCTATGACACTTGATCAGTAAAAAAAATATTTTGCAATAAAGAGTGATAAAGATGTTTGCTTTAAAGATCAGTCCATGCGGTGATTTGTGCGGCCGCTAGTGGTCATGGTTATTTAGTGTGTACGTGTGGAGCCCTTAGAAAAACTGCTTATAGACAGATAAGCGGTGTGAAAATCTTACAGCTGTGTTGTCTTCTGCCGTTGTTGCTGGAGTCTCTGCTGCGTTGGCTGCAGTGGTCTGTGTGACTGGAACCAGAGGGCCCTGCAAGTGGGTGGCCGGCTGGCCGGCCTCTCAAACTCCTCCCCTGGGATGGAGCAAGCTTCCCCCGCCGCCACTTGCAGAGCGCCTCAACTCCGAAAGCTTTCAAGCACAGTTTTGCTCCGCCATCACTTTTCATAAAACTGCCATTATCCGAAATCTACACAGCTGATTTCTCATCTCAAAACTTCTCAGAAGTGGATTTAGTGATGAAACAACATACGACAATTGTAAAGTATAAAACTTTCTGCTGCTGGCCTCTGTCCAGCGCGTGCAATGATGATGCAGTGAATAGTGACGATTCTTTGTGACCAATCAGCAGTCTGCTGTGTTTTCACGACACATTTTAGTATCGCCTCAGCTCAACTCAGGTTGCTTGGAACCTCGATGGAGGTGATATGAAAAAAGTACCAGGAGGCAGGTACAGGTACAGCTTTTCCCTGATGAAAAACTACAAAATGCGAGTGGAGTCGAGGCAAGTTGAGCTGGTACCATTCAGTGGACAACAACAATTGAATTGGCTAACAATTGAAATCATCTGTATGCTGTTATTGTAATAGGGTACGGAGTAATGAGCATTGAGCCTCTAAGGCCACTAGCAGGGCTCTATAGTTGACTATATACTGAGCAGGTGTTTTTTTTTTTTTTTCTTTTACCCATCTGAGGGCAGTACAATTAATTTGCCTCTGTGTGTCATTTCCAAATGACTTTGAAATGAATTTCTGCCTTTTCACTCATGTTAAAGTTAACTTGCTAGCTTGTGACACTGTTTGCTTGTTCAATCCAATGACATTTAACATGTGAAGAACACATGTTAATCTATTTAAGCCTGCCCCTCTCCCTCTAGCCGCTGATTGCTAACTTTTTCCAACCTAAGTCCGTACTTACCTCAACCAATCGGAGATTGCCTACTCAATCTAGTCACCAGCATCTGCCCCCCCTCCCCTCACCCTCTTGTTATATAATCCGTGAAGTGCCCCTATGGCCCCTATGCAGCCATTATATAATAATTACCCAGCTGTGAGAGTAAGAGATGGACAGAAAGACAGACAGAGCGAGAGAGCTAGACAGTGAGTTGTAGAGGGAGAGAGAGAGCATGCAGGCATGGTGTTTTCTGATCTGCTGTCATCACCTGTCATCACTACCTGACTGTGCAGCTAAAGAAAGAAATAGGTTTTATAGCAGCAAATGTTGTGTGTGATTTTAATCAGAAAAGATGACCTTAATCTTTTCGTTAGTGACTGTGATGGTCCCACCCCACTGCAGCATGTCTTTTTACACAATTTATCATGTTGTGTTTATATAAAATAAGCTTTGAAAGGAAAACGAGCTGAATGTTTCCAGATGCTCAACGGATTTTCTGCGAGAAATGTATGTTTATCTTTTGAATATTCAATATTAATCAGTTTGTATTCCATTTTAAAATGCTGAAACAACAAAGATATCATGTTATAAGTTACACAATTAACTCTGTGAACATAAAGTTAATTTAACAGCAGAAGAATAAGACATGAGGAAGAAATGACACCGTGTACAAAAGGTAATAAATTTCATTAAATAAGGGTATAGTCTAAATTTCCCGATCATATTCTGAGAGCCCTTCTCACAGGAAAATTATGATTACTTACACATGACTAAAAGCCATTTTTTTTGTCCCTATATTTTTTGAAAAAGCTTGGATCATGTGGACTCATCCCAGGTGGGTTTACAAGTACAACCTCTTTGTTACACTAAGTTAATAAGATATCAGGTAAGGGTAAATCCTAACCTTCAAAAAAGGCAGTACTTGGGTAACATAATCGCTAAGTAGGTGTACTGTAGTGGAAATTTGGTCAATTTGGGCTGATCTTTAGAGTCGTAATATTGTTACTGTAATAGGGATCTTTTCATAGGATTCTTGATTTGTGATGTGGAATGGGGTTTTCATAAAATGTGTATGGAGGATTCGATGGCTATGAGAATATGTTGATTGCAAATGACTACTGATCATTTATGCTTTGAGAAAATACTTTTTTCTTTTAAGTTTTATTTTCTTTCAATACTACTACACCAATATAATATTTATAATATAAGCAGAACACTTAACTGTACAGTGGTATTTATTTAAACTAAGTGATTGCAATTTTAAACACAGATGAGGGAGGCAGACAGGGGAATAAATAAATCCAGAAAACAGGTTCAGACAGGATCCAAGGTGCTGAGAAATCCAAAAGTAAATCCAAAACACAACAGAAATATCCGGTAACAGGCAGAGACACCTGACAACATAAGACGAAACTGACAAAGACCAGGGAGGAAACACACACACACACACCTCCACCCACACACACCAGGGAGGGTGATAACACAGGTGAGAAACATTAGGCAATCAGAACAGACAGCAAGCAAAGCTAGACAAGGACATCAGAGGCAGACAACTTCAAAACAAAACAGGAAATACAAAAACTGAAAGCCCAAATCCGTGACATTGATAGTCTCTATTCATTTAGGCCCAGTCACAACAGAATGTGACACAGCGAAGTCCCTCCATGCGTCTTCGCAAAAATATGTGGTTGTAGGAGCTTGGTGAAATAGTGAGCACTACTTACTCAACCAACTACAGTGGCTGGTGAGCTAAGCGCTAACAAGCCAAGGAACATGTGAACCACAGACCATTAAAAATCTTTATATAGAATCTGTGGTCACAACATCTCTTAAAGCTAGCCTTCTTGATGACTGTCACTTAGCTAGCTCGGTCATTAACAGACAGTAAGTTAACACAATTTATTGTCTTTTGTCTCATTAATGTATGTAAGTCATGCGTCTTTCATGGAACAGTTCAAACTGGAGCGTTAAATGAAAGTGGATGGTGTGTTACAGCTGATATGATGGTGTCCTCTGTTTTGGACTCTGGTTTTCCATTCCCTTAAAGGTCAGCAGATGATTTGCTTTTGGTCACTAGCACAACTTCACACGTTAAATGTCACCAAAGTTAACCTCGAAAGGAAGTGAGATTTCTGCTGTGAATTGGTTCTAGGGCTGGGCGATATGGACTAAAAACTCATATTCCGGTACTGTTAGGCAGAGTTCCAGTATAAAATATATACTGGTATTTTCTTCAGTTTCTTATTTCACCGTTTTAATTATACTTCATTCTCCACCTTATTTAAGTGTCACTCACTTATGGAATCTGCCTTCTGACTGGTGTGTTCACTGCCGCTTTACCTTGTCTGCTCTTGTAAAATATCCACCGTGTCGCACGTAATCACTCTGTGTTTCTTTGATAAATGCTACAATGCCTGGCCTAACCTGTGCGGAGCGCCGTTGCAGTGTGGGGAAACACTGACTGAACTTTTTTTCTTTTTACAAGCCAGGTCTTCAGCGTCGACCAGCCCTGTGTCTCCTTCCATGTTGTTACAGAGTTTGTGAGTAGACGGCTGCGTGCAGACGCAGAGGGAGGGGTGGGGCGGGGCTGCGCGGTGAGGGAGAGGGAGGAGCAAACGCTGGCAGGACTTTACGGAAACATGTTAAATAACTCGGCATCAAACTACATTGGTATAAACGGTATTGTCTAATCCCTTTTGAAATTATATCTGTACACCAATATACCGCCCAGCCCTAATTGGTTCCATACACTGATGTCAGTCAGAAGTAACGGTAAACTCTATAGCATCAACTGGTAGGTTTTCTCTGCGCTACTGTATTCAATCCTGCCTGTCCCTCTGCAGGTCCCTGCGCAGCTTATCCCGCCGCTCAGTAGAGGAGGAGTTCCCCCACCTGTATGCTCACGGCTGCACGCTGCGGGACGTCTGCGCTGAATGCACCAAATTTGTTGCTGATGTCATTTCCTCCAGTCGCCGGAGCCTGGACATCCTCAACAACACTCCCAAGAGGGAGGCCAAAGCCGCTGCTGCTCAGAGACCACAGCTGAAACGCCAATCCCACCTTGAGACTTGTCCTCAACCACACCTTCCCCAAGTGTGTCCCCCTCCACCTTACCCACAGTCACAGTGTCACCCCCAGCTCCTTCCGCAGTCTCATCATCAACAGCAGCAGCTTCATGCGTCATTATCGTCTCCTTCGCCGCAGCTCCACGCCAAGACCATCAACAATGTGAATGAGTAGACTGACACTTTATCCCTTTCTGCTCACACACACGCTCCTTAATGAGCTGTGGTGCTGCACTACACTGTGCACACACACACACGCGCACATGCACAGAAAAGTAGGGTTCTTAAAGGGTTGTAGGGGCTACATGCATCATCAGTAATGACTCAAAGAGCCATCAGACTGCTTCACATAAAAATAAATGAGTTAGAATACATAAATCAGTGAGGGTCCTTCTTTAAATATTGCTGGTTTGGAGAATGAAATGCATTATTTCACCGTTATGCTATGATATACAAAGCCTAAACTTTTCTGGAGCTGTTTAGAACCATTTTTAGTAAAAATCAAATCTAAACAATCACCACCACACCCATCATCCAGTTCCCAACTACATGATCTCCCATATATCACCATCTCACTCAGCAGATGTGCTCACACAGCCCCCCTCATCACTCTAAGGTTTGAGTAAGAGCAGTTCTGCCTTATCTACGGCACTATGACTCCACTCCCTGATGCTCACAGCTGCTGGAAGGCAAGCATATGGGAGGAGAAGGCAGATAATGAACTGCTGGTTGGGGGAGTATACACTGTGAGAGTTGGGTGTTAGTAGTTTGAGGAGGATTAACAGTGTGCAGCACAGAGTCAACATGTAACCCTAGCATTTTAGCTGTCTGTGGTTGCCTTGTTTTTGTCATGAATGTAACTTAGAGACACAGAAACAGAATTGTAAAATGATAAGCTTGTATCCAGCATAATAACATTTATTTTTAATCATCCAAAAAAAGGCATTTGTAATGAGTGGCTGCTGCATAATGAGGCCTCTTTTGCATTTTAGGCGTGCTTATAAAGTCCCAGGTACAGCTGGATGAGGTGTGATGGTGGCGACACTGTGAATGTAATGGGGTGAAGCTGCAAACTGCACCTTTAACTGATGCAGCATAATGATGCTGATGTGAAGAGAGCAGATGAAACTCCCGCCTCTCTCACTCCCCATGGACGCTTGCAATCTGCTCTGGTTTTGTAAACACTAAGTAGACCTCAACTGCAATAAAATCTAATGACAAACACGACCAGTGCTGCCTCTGTGAGGTTTACTGTTCACTTCTGCATGCTGTGTTCAGCTGTTCTGAATTACTTCAGTGGTCACAACGCTGCACCTCATAAATTAATGGCAACATAATGTTCTAGTTTTTCTTCTTTCTTGGAAGAAAACTCCCATTGGTAAATATTAAATATACAAAAGTAATAGCAAATTAACCTACTCTTGAAGGATGATTAAATGAAAAGCACTTTGTTGGTTCATATAAAACCCTTTTTTAATCACAGCCCTGTACAAATAAATTTAATTACCCAAAAATCTGCAATGGACCGAGGAACTAAGCAGGTAAGTTGTCTTAATTACAAACTAGTATATAATAGCTGGCTACTTTGGCAGGATGATATTGGTATATAAAAAATATATAGTTACTTAATGTGAAGCGGTATGGATGCAGGTCTTTTACCAGATAAGTACAAGGAAACATGCTCACCACTTGCTCTGTCTCTTTTGTGGTGCAGGGCATCAAGTCCCCCAAAGATCTAATTCCAGGGTTAGCCAATTCCTGCACACACTTTATCACCTTTGCACTGAATTATTTAAAAAATGTTGACGTTTTGGTCACAAGGACCTTCCTCAGGACATATCAATCAGAGAGTGACCCAGAGCTTAAATTATGCTTACACTATGTGATCAAAACGTCGACCCTTTAAAATTAAATCAGTGTAGAGATGTGCGGGAGTTGACTTTTTCATAGGGATGCAGATTATTTACATCCATCTGTTTTCATCTGTTTTTCAGTGGAGAACCTGGAAATTAATGTCAAAAATTTTACCAATCGGTAGCGAGTTACGCATCCACCCTTCCAGCATCATGTTTGACACAGAGGTTGTGGCTACCAAGGTATGAAGGAAGATCATGTCCTCATTCTTAACCTCACCTACAAAGCTCTGATTGGTCAACTGTTTTTCCAGCGGGGAAATAGCCGTCAATGAGTGCAGCGCTAGCCCTATTTGAATCACTGAATCACCAGATGTGGTCTGCAATTCGGAGGTCTGTAACCTGGCTAATGGGATGCAGGACTCACATCTGGGCTCATTAAGCTATTCAGTAAACGAACAACTTAGGTTTGCCGTTAATAAAATCATCAAGTTTGTTTACACAAGATAGGGTTGTCTTTTTATTTTTGTACTATAACAAGGAAACGAGTAATGTTCTGCTAAATGCACTCAGTTGTCACGTTACTAGGTCCACCCAGCTAAAATGAACTCACTGTAATATAACAGTAAGTCCTGCCTGTGTTCAGTGTGTTTTAGTGTGATGTTGATTCAACTGTGTGGTCATTTTGGAGGCTGTAGTTTGTGGTGATGTTGAACTGTATAGATTACTGTTTCAAATATTTTGTCTGCCCACAATGACTGGAAATGTCTGCCGCTCTCGTGCAGCACTTCAGGCCTTTAAATGTATTACACATGCGGGTTGCAGCAGCCGAGCTATTGTCTTAGAAAATTAATGGAGGTGAATTGACCGCTTGGTAAAATGCTCACAGATGTGACTGCCGCAGTTCTGCTGGTGGTGAAGAACATGAAGCCAGAGCCCATGTTGTGGCTCCACTGGAGGGCAGAACTTTGAATGTACAAGAGTGTGTATCTCTGCATTGCAACTTGGTGCTACTGTTAAAAACTACTCACTAATTATTGTATTTTTGTGATCATCTACATTAGGTGGCAGGAAGAAAATCCAGGTAGAGTCACTGTATAATGCAAAAACTTTCCTAATGTATAAGCATTCAGAGCCATGTTGTACTGTCTGGCCAACTGTAATTTCAATAAATCACTTTTTGGCATATTTGTTTTATTGTGATCACGTGCAAATTATTTTATGAGCTTAACAGAACAATCTTGAGATCACATCATTAATATTTTGTGAACTCAGCAAAAGACTTTTTTCCTGCTCACATATTATTTTGTGATCCCAGGAAAACAAAACATTGTGATAAGACTAGTCGCCTGAGGGATTTCTTGCTTCCAGTCTGATATTAAAAGGCCACAGATGACTTGTCATTAGCTCTAAAGTTTTCTTGTGGAAATGTTTTATCATCTTAACGTCACAGCCTTGATGTTCCTGTGATCATTAAATCCTTGTTCTGTGACACACACAATAAGTTGGTTTTGACAGTTTAGGGATGGAAACTGTTCCTAAATTTGGACACTGACTTGGTTCAGATTACAGGTGTCACACCAGATACTAAATGCTAATACAGAATAGACTTGGAGTAGCTCTATAATAATAGTGCAGTCATCACGATCTTATACATAGAGCTATTATTGGCCTCAAGGACAATGAACATAGTCAAGTACCAACAGTTCATCTTGACACTTTGTCTCCACGAGAGTTAAACTCACCAACAGAGCAGTTTTATTGACTTTCTACTGATGGGACTGGTTAGAAGGCAGAAGTATCCGTTAATAGAGCCGACACAGCGAGTGAACTTAAGAAGGCTTTGTCCCCAGTTAGGGGATCTATAATGCGTCTCTGGACGCCCCGCCTCTACCATCATGAATTAATAATCTACAGGTCTGCATGTCTATTGGCTGCCTCTGTCTGTCATCCGGCTCTCAGTTCACTCTTGAGACTGACAAGCTGCGTGAAGTTGGAAATAATTAGAAAACGACTTAGGAAGTTAGGGGTTCATACCTTCAAAATAAAAGCATTATATAATAAATTATTCATGAAGCTTTTAATGAGCTTGATGTACTCACTGGTCCACTTTTGATGAATGTCAGTATATGTCAATTTCTTTATCGTTCCGGGTTCCAGCATACCCTTATCTCACCGTTACCTAAAATTCAGAGGATTCACACATTTCACACAGTTATTTGTACTTGTGTTATGTTGTAATATAGAATTTATATAGCTTTTGAATAAAGTTTCTTTAATCTTTTGTTTTATTTTGTTTGCGTAATTATTTTAATCCGTGTCATTATGATTTTAGTCCGTGTTGGTTTTGTGCTGCTGTATGGCATAGATTATTTTGTTTTGGAGCCAATTTAGATCATATAAGTGAAGCAAAAATGCATTTTCATAGGTCTAATAGCGTCTGCGTCATTTCTGGGTGAACAACGTTTGCAGTTTAGTTCATTTTGGTCATTTTTATCCTCCAAAATCTGGCCCAAAACAGATTCCGTGGGCTTTTATGTTGAAAGATTAGAACGGATACTCTCTTGTTTTGTTCTTGTTAACTTTCCAGTGGAAGTGGGGCAGCTTTAGAGGCTGAACTCGACAACAAGCCCTCTCCGGCTGGCCCATCACAGCCAGTTGTTCTTTTCTTTTCCCTCTCCCTCTTTTTTCCCCCCTTCTGTTTTTTCTCGCCCTCTGGCTCAGTCACAGTGGGAGTGGGTGTGTCGATGCGGGCCAGTGTAGCCTAGTCGCTGCTTGTGCGCACTCTGAAAAAGAGGAAAAAGTTGATGATGAGTTTAGTGTGAAAGGGGCCCGCCTCGGAGCAGGCTAACCGTCCGGGAATGGCAGTTTGGACCAGAGCGGACAAAAACGGTCAACTGGACCTTCTTCTCCGCGACCGCTGGATCCGAGTGGCCGCCGAACTGTCCCGAGAAACTCTGACTTTAACGGCCGAAGCGGAGGGAACAGGGCAGGGGGGCAGCAACTGGGACTACAACAACTCTCCGGCAGGCCTGCGAAATGGCATGTCGAACGGAAACGAACCGGGAACGAGTCCGGGGAACCCCAGCCGCGGACTTTCCTCGGGTCAAGACCAACTCCAGAACCACGGGTGTCGGGGGCGCAGCGGCAGCCCGGGGCGCGGGGGTGCCAGTCGGGGTCAATACGACGGCAACTATGGTCTAAATAGCTCCGGGAAGTACCCAAATAACGGCACAAACTCTGACTTTGGAAGCCCCGGCTCCAGCTACGGAAGTCCCGGGTCCAGCTTCGGGTCGAGACAAGGCGACGTTCCCGTCAGTCTGGACGGCTCCTCGGAAGCTGTGCGCAAAGTCCGAGTTGTCAAACAGGAGTCTGGCGGGCTGGGGATCAGTATCAAAGGGGGGCGCGAGAACCGGATGCCCATCCTCATCTCCAAGATCTTCCCGGGGCTCGCTGCCGACCAGAGCCGGGCTCTCCGGGTGGGTGACGCGATCCTGTCGGTGAACGGGAACGACCTCCGGGAGGCAACACACGACCTGGCGGTCCAGGCGCTTAAGAAGGCAGGAAAAGAAGTCACGCTGGAGGGTAAGTTGGGCCACGCGAGAGCGGGGACTTGCAAAGGCCGAGATTAGACTCCTGTGGTGCAGCCACACACACCTCCGTGCACTGCTCCTCTTTCATACATCCAGTCAGTTGGGTTTTGTTCAGTTTGTCCACATGTTAACACATATCCTTGTGAGTCTGAACTGAACTTGCAGTGTAATGTCAAATAGAAACTAAAACAAAAAAATGCTTTAAAGTAATCTGAAAAAGTGGAGCAAGTCAACACCCCACCCACACACACATGCACACACATGCACACACAACAGTAACCAGTTTTTGTGTCCCCAGAAGTGAGTGGAAAGTATTCTAAAAGTAATGTAAGTGAATTTATGCTCCTGTTATACTAACAAGATAATTCATTCATCAGCACAACACCATTTTAAATAAGAGCAGTAGGATGCACATGGCCATCAATAAAGGTCAGTGAACTTTCTAGATACTCCACATATGTTTGGCGGGTTTTAATTTTCACCACACAAATAATCATTTCTGTGAGACGCTACTATGCAGAACACAAACAGGCTCCCAGTCACAGTTGATCTATGACCAGGATGAGGAGGAGCGGGGCCTAAATAAAAACAACAAATCCTTTGATTTGTGTAAACAGGAAAGTAACCACAGTTGTGGTCACAGTCAGAGTTAGAGACATTGTACTCTGTGTATTTGAATGTCTGTGGGTTGCTAAAGATAAGAGGTCACTGTAAACATAAGCAGATGAGATTTGTCTCTGTGTGACACTGATACCGTCAGGGGGAGAGACGTATAGTTGATCTGCGAGGAAATCAATGTTGCACCTACACAAATTAGAATATAAGCAATTGTAGCTCCTGAAAAAGTAAAAAGCAGTTATTTTATTTTGACCAGGCTTGGATTTAAATAACATTGAATGGAATGATTGTGTTTTTTTAAGTAAACCATTCAATAACCTGATATTGATCATGTTTCTGCATTGATCAATAATGAATGCATTTACTGTAGGGTTCAGCGTCTCATCAGCCCCTGTAGGCAGCTGTTCCTAGCAAAAGATATCTCACTAAGTAGTAGTAGGGCTGGACGATAAGGCCAAAAATGCTATAACATTATAAGCTGATAAAGGGAAGGTGGCTGTGTGTCTGGTAGCTAGTGCTGATGTTTCATACATTTACATTTGAAATGGGAGGTACATAAAGGCGCTTATCAATGCATCACGCGTGCATATTATTCACATCAGCAGCTCCACAGAAGGTCTGCTGAAGGTTAAAAACTGTGCAGACGTGAATATCACAAAACTATCCCAGCCTACTAAGCTTCAGATGGAAGGAGCATAATCCAAACTGTACATGGTAGGAAGCAGATGGAGGCTGTAGTAGTGAAATGTGTCAGTTAGCAGATACGTACTGGCTCATTATGGGACAGAGCAGGGCTCCGTGGAGATGAGTTGAGCACCTAAACTGTGCTAATGTAGAACTGTTTAATCTTTAGAAAAGTGGAAAACAAACAGAAAATTCAAGGGAGGTCACAGAGCCCCTGGGGTTCGGAAACTTCAGGCCAGGAACCGTTAAATGCAGTGCTTAATGGTTTGGAATGAACGGCGGGTGAATACTGACGAGCGTTAATTGTAGGAACTAATCAATGTGTGACACATTTGCACTCAAGTCAAAATGAGGTCTGTTTGGTGCCTCCCAAAATAAACCAAGGTAAAATGTCCTAGACTCCTTAAGCTATCCACTGTGCTGATTAAATTAAAACCCGAGAATCTGTATGAAACCGTTGTAAGTTTTTCCCTAATCAGAAGAGATATCTGGATAGGCAAATGACACATGCAAATGTAACACAGTAGAGGTACTTTCATTAAACAGGGAAATAAGAATCATTTCAAAACAGCTGGTGGAATGTGGCCTATTGCAACTCACATCAGTATAAGAAACATTTCCAGCAGCCCTTGGGCATAGACAGGAGGATGTGCTGCCTCCTGCCACAGCCTCAGTCCAGACATGGGCCTCTGTTTGGAAGAATGTGTCAGCTGTCTGTCACTGTTTGTCAGTTTGGCAGGCAGCGAGCTGTGTTTGTGGACCGGCTCCTCCTCTCAGTACCCCCCTTTCTCCACTTGGGTCCCACCGCGCTGAGAAAGAAGCGGCAGTCAGACAGAACGAGGCTTCAGTTTCCAGACCGCTGTGCCGTGTAAACAATACATAAACCCCCAGATATTCTCACAGTTAGCTTTGGTGTCCCACATTCCTGACCTCCGCTTGCATGTGCGTATTTAGGGCAAAGGTCAACACCGGCGGCTCCGGCTTGGAGGATTCATGCTGCTCCACAATTGCAACACACTTTGGCAGATTTTTATTTGCTGGTGCTGCATGTCTCAATAGGCTATCTAATTTTGGCCGAAATATTCTATATACGTGGCTAGAAATATCCAGCATAACCTGAGATCAGTGTCTTTCACAATGCAAATCAACTTACTGGTCTCAATCGTGTCTTGTTTTCTCAATTACTGTTAAAGCTACAGGGCACGAAGGTCAGTTCTAGAAAGGCATTATCTTATTTAGGATGATTCAATCGTATTTGTTTTCATCCAAGGTACTGTAGATAATCTCGTCAAACACATTTTGCACCGGATCATTAACCTTGTTTGAAGATATGCAGTCCATACTATCAAGTTAGAAAAGTGGGTTGCATGTAAGGCTGCAGTGATCGATTATTTTATTCTACAGATTATTACTTTCATTCATCGAGTAATCGCATAAAAAATGTTTTTGCTCAGCGCTCCCTCTACCGGGACCAGCTGTGTAACTCATATCACTCCAACTGTACAACCCAAACTCACAGCCTAACCAGACGGCGAACAATAACATTAAATGCACATTTATACATTCAACAGTCATGATTTATGTTATATGCTAACGTTAACGTGCGCAGACTGGATGCTTTCTGCTCAGATGCTGAAGCCGTCGTGCTGTTGTGGTAGGCTAGTTCTGTTTTACTGCAGACACGCTGTACAGAGTTGTTGCTTTTTTTCAGCTTGAAATGATCCCGTACTTTGGACACTTTCTGTCTTGTTCGCTGACCTCTCTCTTCTCTTCGCCCATCACTACTTTCTTTCTCCATTTTGCAATTCGCGCCATCTAATCACGTTGTCTAAACTTGTCCACAGCGCGTTGTGCAACAGTAATAATTGTCCGTGTGAAACAGTGGGCTGTATATAGTTATATGGATTCAACAAAGCATTGATTCAGATTCTTTGCATCGATGCTTTTTAGTAATCTGGTTAGTAGCCTGGTTACATGGTTGTAACATCCGAAACATCTGAAAGGGGGAAAAAAAACTGAATGTCTTTGCTTATTTCAAGAATCAGAACAATTTAAAGCTGCATTATCAATATTTTTAGTCAAGTATTTTTGTTACCTCTAATTTCTTAAGCCCACACACTGTTTTTTTTTTGTTTACAGTGTATGTGCATTTTTTTATTTTTTATTTTATTTTTTCCAACCTTGCAAACGGGTAAACCTGCAGATGGAACAAGTGGGATCTTCTCTCCCTGTGTTGCTTTAGTCTGCAGAAATCTCAGTATTATCCGGTCCATTCCAGAGACAAAGTTCAAGGCTTGTTTCCTCAAACCTAAAATCTGCGACTGAGTTGTGATAACATCACCTGTCTTCAATATGAACTCATTTTAAAGGTTTTCAAGCATGTGAAGAATGAAGTGCAGTGATCTTTCTCATTCTATTTTGATTTTAGGAGACTGACACTGATAGTGGGAGCAAATGAAATGGTCTCACTTTACTTATTCCTGATCAATAAAAATAACTTGTTATGACAATTGGATGTTTTTTTTGTTGAGGGTGGTTTCACTCTCCAAAGCAATAGGAATGAATGAATAACTTCTTAAAGTGTTTTTGCACCATTTACACATGACGTACATATTCCAGACATGATGAAAGGCCCTGTTAATCCCCCTCCCCTCATCAGCTGACTGATATGTCATAATATCCCATATGACCAAATGATTAGTTGAAGCTTGCTGCAGCAGCCCCTTGTGTCGTATTGGGTTAGCCTGCTGATCGGTGAAAGGAGACGCAGGGTGAGCCTTTTGTGCGAGTAATTGGAGGGATAAAAACGGCACATACCAGACACAGAGGCTATTGATGAAACGGGGACAGCCCTGACAAGGAACAGTTCTTTTCTTTTGTTCGGAGGCCAAAACTAGCCAACCGTCAGTTCACTGTGCCGTTCGCTGCCCTCATGGGGCAAGATCTGCCACGGAGCATGAGTCTGCACAGCCTGAAATAGGCCACGTCAGTTTGTCAGCACTGTCTCAGTATGAACTCCACTGCCTTTGATATCCATCTGTAGATATGTCTCTGGGATCAGCTAGTGTTAGCCATTTTAATGCCATGACATTTTTTTTGTCACTTTAAGGAAATGTCATTGAAATCTGCAAGATTTAAATGATTTCAAGCAACTCTTTAAATACATATCTTACTTAAAGACTTTCACCCAATTTACACAAAGACAAGACATATAATATTTTTCTACCAAGCCCCAGTGATGCATAGCCCTGTAGCCAGTTTTTATTTTGCGTCCTGAGTTTTTCAGATATCTGTATTTAATTGGTGCTCAAACCATAGAAAAATTTATCAGAAAAAAGTAGTTTTAGGGCAAACAATCATTGTTTCTGTAAAGAAAAGATTCTGCTGACTTTAGATGCCATTTCCATTGCTTTAAGAAACACAAATTAAATTCCTTTAAACTCAGTTGTATTGGGGTTGTTTCGGAAAAATCTAAACATGAAACTGAAAAAATATCTGTATGGCTGGATAACACTGGATAATATATTCATTTGTAATTTGGATTAACTGAAACTTCAGAGCTGCACTAATCATATTTTTTATATAAATATTGTCTCAAGTGACTATGTGTAATTTGAAAAAAAAGACAAACCCACTACAATTCCCCTCGTCTTTATGTAGCGTCTTTCAGCTCATTAATATGGCTCTATG